CAGAGGGCTCTTGTGTCATAAATTTTCCCACTGCCTGTCAGCGAGTAATGTGATCTGAGCCGCACATGTGCAGCTCAGACCATATCCATGGCCCGCTCTGTATGCCGCTGCAGTGTGACTCCTGTGTGCATGCGCAGGAGTGACGTTGCCCTGGCACAGCCATTCAAGCATCTGAAGATCAGAAACCCGGAAGAAAGTCCGGGTGAAGATGGAAGCTGCTGGGGACAAGGGAGAGCTGTGACAGTGTAATGCTGTAGGTAAGTCTGTCGTACTGTGCTATTATGCACTGCATAATAGTACATTATGGCTTAAAGCTGCTGGGGGGACCCATTTTTTAAAATAATAAGAATGACTTTACTACTGCTTTAAGGCTAGGTTCTGAGACAGTGCCTTCACTCTCTGTGAAGCTGCATAGGTTCATCCATTGGCTAGTAGTTAAAATGCAGCTGAAGATTCAGGTAATGCTGCCTCTGATATTCTTCTCAGATGTACTGTATGTATGTCCATGACAGGTTCCCTTTAAAGGAATATAAAGCAAAAAAGGCAGCGCTCCTCCTTTGTATAATCTCAAAGTGCTAATTACAAATCTAAATAAAATCCTTAAAACAAAAGTGTATATAAATCAATATTACAAAAAATAAATTATCTTCAGCAAAAAGTGTCCTTTTACAACCTATTCAGTAAACCAAGAATGTGAAAAAATATAATATGTCCAAACACCATAAAAAATATGTATAAGTGCTTTTTTCTCTTTAATATTCAAATTTCATGTGAAAAAAAACACACAAATGACCGTGTACAAATCCACCACCAGATAGATTGGGTAAACTCACCAGAGCAATATGCTGGTCAGATTACAAACCAGCACAAAGGCTTCTGCTCTGGGAGCAATGGTCTGCAGATGGATAACCAGCGTATGTGGGATAATTCAAATGGCACTAAATTCTTCTCAGTCTCGGAACGAACTCAGGAAGTAAGAGAGGAAAGACTCAGAGCATAACACCGTATCAAAACTTTATTCATAAAAACACAATATATTCCACTCACATTTACTAGTGTCCGAGCCAACACTAGCATGAATAGCAAGCACAGCAAAAATCAAACAGCCTGCTCCGGTGTATACAGCTGCTCGCTGAACGTGGTGACGTCACCTCCAGAAGCCCCGCCCTACGCGTTTCGTCACTTGACGTCCTCACGGAGCGGAACCTTTTTTTTGTGGTGTCCAAGCTTCCCACTACATATGGTCCCCATCCACATTTTGAATGGCTGGTCTCTATAATGGGCTGACTTCAACAGCCAAAGAGAATTTGAAGAAGCCAAAAAAAGGATGGGCAAGCTTTGCACCTGTCATAGTGGCCTGGGATTTGGCTGTAGAAGTAAGATACTTTTCACATGTTAATGACAGATATTTCTTAAAGACAAATTACAGCCAAAATATATATTTTTTTTCATTTTAGATAGACCAGGGAAGAGTTAATATTGGAGATTTTACTGCTGCCTGTGTCAGTCCTGCGACTCCTCCTGCTGTCCCCATGACATTTTTACAAGACACATAAGATGTCACAAAGACAGAAATGGAGACGTGGTCAGCAGTAAATACCTGGTGAAATTTCTAACCCTTCCCCACTCTGCAAAACCAGTTTTTGGTGGAATTGGGCATTAATCACAATGAATATGTTTAATATCTATGAACGTTTGTTTTAGATAATACATCACATTTAGTATGACAGCGCATTCAGCGGTACAAAAATTAACGTAAGGCTAGATTCACACCTATGCAGGTTGCGTTTGAGCCATTTCTGCATTGCATTTTACGTTTTTGCACCTGCATTTTGATATGTTTTTGCGGTGTTTTTTGATTTTGCTGTTTTTTTTCTTGTTGCTAGGCAGATTTAAAATGCAGCAAAAACATGGCAAAAATTCAGCAAAAACGCACTACAGGTTTTTTTGCAGTGTTCCCATTGAAGTCTATAGAACGAAAAATGCAACTTTTTGTGTTCAAAAAGGTCCCTGACTCTTTCTAAAAAATGCACCGGGTGAAAACGCGGAGATGTGAACATGTTAAATGGACTGTACTGTGTTTCTACAAGAGGCAAAACGCTGCAGAAAACGCTTAGGTGTGAACCTAGGGAAAACGCGGTCCAATCGTTTACTGTACTGACTTGACCAGGAAAAATATGAACTCAACACTGCCCTCTTGTGTCCATTCAATTCATTACCACTAATATTTTCTAAATGACTTTTCTGCATGAATTATGAATTATGTGGATCACATGTATCAAAAACAAATACTGAACAGCAGCCATCTTGCACTTAAATGTTTGGGAGGCAAATTAATACTAGAATAAAGACATGCAGGAAAGAGGAAGGTGGAACTGCTGTGGGTTAGCAGCATGATATTGGCACCTGACTTCCATATGTTGGAATTTAGAGGCATGCTTTTTATGCTCATACATAAATGTTTTAGCAGTAGTAGAGTGTTGTACCGTGTTAGCCATCAATTAATGCAGAACATTTGGAATTTAAGTGATATGTATTATTGACATACTTAAAGGATAAGTTTGCTTTTTAAAAAGATAAAAAAAAATCACATTTTTTTGGAAGGTAAAAACATCCATTTATTATTCTCTTTTTTCATATCACGGGTGCAATGTCAGGTTTCTGCAGATTCTCAGTACAGCTGTCTGCCTGTACCACCCGTATGGGCAGAAAGTACAGGGAGATTATGAAGAATCAATGGACTATAACGGTGCTCACCAGCCCCCTCGCAGTTCATTGAGAACTACAAGCCATGTGCCAGACTTGTAGTTCATCCATTCACAAAGCTCTAGCAATGAGTGATTCAACGGTGTGGGCACAGCCTTGCACAACTGCGCTGTTTTTAAATTGTGACAGCTTGTGCAGGGAGTGGATCCCCCACCCGCTGCCACAGGAAAAGGGGGATCAGTGGTGTGGTGGGTGGGTGAATGGGGATGTTGCTGAACATGTTACATCCTTTTTTGGAGCGTTTTTGCATGTGGGTTTTTAGCACGTTCCGGTGTGGTTTTGATTTTGTTTTTACGCATTCTAGTGCTTTTTTTATGCATTCCAGTTCCAGTTCATTTTTTCCCCTCTCTTTTTCTTCAATTTAAATATAGACATGTGCATTCCAGTGCATATTTGGTGCGTTTTTTTATGCATTTTTCCACTTTTCAGTACAGTTCTGTGCAGGAAAAATTCAGCCTGTTCTACTTTTTTTTTTCTGCATCTGGAAAGCACTGGAACTGCAAGCACTGATGTGAACTATGACATTGACAACCCCTTAAACACTTACCTGGTTCCTTTCACTGATCCAGTGCTGTCCTGTCTGCAGCACTGCTGTCCTCCCTTCCAGATTTCACAGAACAGAGTGAGAGCACTGGGAACCGTAGACTCCTGCTGCTGTCATTCAAATTCCTGTGAAGATGAAGCGGGGGCCTGGCTTACTGGCTCTGTGTGTGTCTATGGATGCACACAGTCCGGCTCGGGAACCTGTCCGCGCAGTGCCCCTATAACACGCGGCTTGCTGAGGGATACCCGGAGGATGGAGGCCAGTGGGGGACTCCAGAGGAGGGGGTAAGGGACTACACTGGGCAATATCACTGCACATAACAGATAAGTATAATATATTTTTTATTTTAAAGCAAATAAACTATCAATTTAAAAGTTGATAGACAAATTGAGGATGAAACATATCCTACAAAAGTACAAAAAAGAATACAGAAACATATTACCTCAAGGATATATAGAATACTTACTGAAATAGATGGACTAGCATCCTAAACATTTATGGAGAAGTGGGAAATGGAGCTTGGAACAAAATTGAGTGAGAAACAGAAAGATAAAATGTTTAGTTTGACACACATGGCGATAAAAATGAATATAGTTGAAATGAATTATACGTGTCTAGTAAGATGGTATATTGCACCCAATGTGATGCAGAAAATGAGACCAGAAGTCTCATCCAAATGTTGGAGGGGTTGTGGGAGCAAGGGTACGGTGGCACATATCTGGTGGGAATGTCCCAAAATACAGGATTTCTGGAGGGTGATAACACAATATATACAAGAGGTCCAGAAGATCAGTACACCAATACACCAGGGATTGTTTACTGTATAAATCAGAGCTCTTGGTGAAACAATATAAAAATACAATTTTGTTCCATCTTTTAAATGCAGCTAAAAGCCTTATCCCTAAATATTGGCAAACATGAGAATCCCCAAAAATTAAAGACCGGATAGATAGGGTGGAGTATATATATAGAATGGAAGAACTGTATCATACAGACGAGGAAAAAATGCAAACATTTAAGAAGACTTGGGAAGGATGGGACAATTTCAAAAAATCAAAAAGATTTCTAGAAGCAGTTGGAGGATAAGGGAAAAAAAGAAATTATACAGGAATCTGGAAAAGAAAGCAAGATTGAGAAAAAGAAAAGGAGGAGAAAACAGCGTGATAGATCAACAACTGAAGAACAAGAAGTGAATGGAAGGAGTATGGGGGAGGGTGGGGGAAGGGTAAATATTGGGATGGGGATTGTATTTAAATATGGATTTTTATAGTGTATGCTGTTAATTTAAATTGCATTTGTAAAAAACAGAACAAAATCAATAAAGAATCATATCATATATATATATATATATATATATATATATATATTTGATAGAAAAATTATATAACAGCAGGGAATAACTGTATATATCTCAGCAGGGAGCTCATCTGAATATATACAAAGAGGATTATTTGTCGCCAACATTCCTCCATGTCTGTCCAGCTTTTGGCGTTTAGAAATTCATAAAAGTTTTTATTTATCTGTAAGTGGCTGAAATGCCAATTTAGGCCTGAAATGTGTGTAGAAATGATCCTCATTGATAGGTCAATATCAAGACATAACTTCTATTCTGTACATTTATTTTACATCTATCTCACTATGTTATGTGGAAAGATAATTTTATGTAAAATTTGATATATTTCTATTTCAGGGTGTAATAGCAGAATTAAAAATTAAGAGCGACCCTAGAGCTGCAGAACTTCAGTGTGAAGAGGAAGGAGACGATTCTGATGGGGTAAGGTTACCTTTGGCTGGGTCATCACATATTTCACCTTGGTGTTACTCAGCATGGCTAAAACCTTTCCATCCTGTTACTCAGTGTGCCATTATATTAAAGTGCTACTAAACCCACAACACTAAAATCAGTCTGTATAATCAGTAAAGCATGCTTGTTATACTTACTGTGGAATCTAAGGGGTTAATCCTCTGCATTATGTAAAAAGGATGCTTGATCCTGACTTCTCTGATCCTCCCCTTCTTCCAGTGTCACCCTCTTATCTCCTGATAAGACGTATTGTGTGGAAACACTGCACATGCTCAGTTTGGTGTGTATTGCTAGAGAGGTTTTTTTTTTTTCCCTTGGGAGATCAGATCAGCACAGGGCCAATCAGCACTGCCCAGACAGAGGTCAGGGGTTCTACATCCTCCTAGAGAAAACTTCTCCTGCAAGCTTTAACCAGTGCTCTGCTTAACACTGATAGAAGACACAAGACTGCTCTAACTGCTGATGAGAAAGGGCATTTATCAGTTTAAATTTACTAAAATAATTGCATTTCCATGTTCTATGTACTGTGGGAGACCAGATATAGTGAATGCAGGGTCCTGGGTTTTAGTAACACTTTAAAGGAAATTCATCCTAAAGCAGGCCACACATTCAGTGTTGAGGGGGGAATCCCTCCCATGGAACTTTTGTTTTCTGACAGCAGTAAGCTTTCCAGCCATCACAATACAATGATCACAGCTGGCTGCTAGAGCCACTGGCAGTGATCAAATGAAAAAAAAAAAGCCTTGACAGGCTAGATTTAGTGATGTCAATAGAGTGATCGACTTTAGTACAACCAGCCTGCCTACACATAGATCGAAATTCAGCAGGTTCCTGCAGAACCGAACGAATCTCGATTAATCTATGGCTGGCTTAATCCAAATATACATTAACAAACATGTTACATGAGATTACTGCTATTACAGCCCATTGACAAGTCAACGCTTCCATTTTAGGGCTCCCTACAGCCCTCTTAAAAATGACTTGTTCACATTTGAAATCTCTCTTCGCAAAATCTGTTAATACAGATGGAATAGAGGAAAAACAAAGCATCAAGGGAGAAAAGCTATGGAAAGCACAGAAAAAAGTAAGATAGCATGAAAAAAAAACCAAACCATTAAACCACTCAAAAGACACAGTGAGTGCCACGGGTGCCACTTTTTACCCCACAGGTTGGGCACCAGGGGTTAGAACCTCTGGCCATGTTTTACAGTTGCCTGTGTCCCCATTTAGTAGTTATTGTTACTCTTTGCATTTCAGGTAGCAATAGCCATAAGAACAGGTAAAATAAGAGCTCTTCTACAGGCACAAACAGTAGTAAGATCAGACAGGGGTTCAAACCCTTTCACCTCTATCCAATTATCCTGTATCCAACATAAAACTAATGTTTTGGCTAGACCTGTGCTTTAAGAACTGTAATTATAAATGTTTTCACAAAGAATTCATACAACTTTCTCCCAGGATTCACACCCTTTTTCAATCGAATAGTATTAGGGCTCATTTAAACTTGCATGCAAAAAGACAAAAAGAGGGCGCACAGGCCTAGTGCATTACCTTTAACATTCGGTTTATTCTATAAAATGTGATATACTTACAAAGGAATAAAAGTCAAAGGCACATCATAAGATATTACAGCAAGGTCCAATCTCCCTGGAAGGTGTCTGATCGGGGACTATAGACCTCCAATGGCTGACCTGTTTCTAGATAAGATTACATTGGTAGCAGCTCTGAGGAAGAGGCATCTCCTCAAAACGCGTCAGCCATTGAAGGTCTTTAGTCCCCCGATCAGACACCTTCCAGGGAGATTGGACCTTGCTGTATATTTTATGATGTGCCTTTGACTTTTATTCCTTTGTGAGTATATCACATTTTATAGAATAAACCGAATGTTAAAGGTAATGCACTAGGCCTGTGCGCCCTCTTTTTGTCTTTTTGCATGCAGCTCATTTGGATACCCCTGGTCTGTTGAGGGCAGCAAGGCATGCATTCCATAGGATATCTTTATATGGCTACAGTCACTGTGGAGTCCATCGTCCAGCGCAGGACTACAAACATTTTTTCTTCATTTAAACTTGCGGTTGGGGGAGCATTAAAAATGTGAAGTTAAGCCATGTTTTTATCGCTCCCCCCCTTCTCCCCAAACCACACCCTTTAGGATGCAGAGGCAGAGGATTGGGGAATTTACATGCCAAGGTACCAGTACTTTACTTCTAGCCTGCTGCAAAAATTATTGCACCTGTTGTGTTTAGTGGTCAGTTAACTGCCAAACAGGACCCATTGAGGGGGTGAATGGGGGTGAATGGGAAAGGGCTGCAAACACCCTGCAACTGCACTCTCCCTCCACTCTGGCACTTTTGGGTTTGTGGATCACGTGATTCACCCTCTTCATCTCATGTGATAATGCTGGCACTTGATAATTGGCTGCTCAAGCCACAAATCGTGACCTGGAGCTTACACAAGGCTTCCACTTTTCACCTCTGGTGGTGAAATGGCGGGGAAATAATGATTATATTTTATTATTTATTTATTAATTTTTTATTTCAGGCACTTATATAGTGCTGTTAATTTACACAGTGCTTTACGTATATAATGTACATTCACATCAGTCCCTAGCCCTCACAGGGCGTACAATCTAAGGTCCCTAACTTACATTCTTACATACACATACTAGGGCCAATTTAGACAGGATCCAATTAACCTACAATCATAGCTTTGGAAAAAAAAAAACGGAGTACCTGGAGGAAACCCATGCAGGCACAAGGAGAACATGCAAACTCCAGGTAGGTGGTGCTATGGTTGGGATTCGAGCCAACGACCCTAGTACTGCCAGGCAGAAGTGCTAACCATTTAGCCATTGTGCTGCCCCTGTTATAATAACCCTTTGCCCTTTATGGACAAAACACAGGTTCACTTTAAAGTTAACATTGTGAGAGCACAGTTAAATGTTACGGGTCTTGTTAAAGATAGTTTAGAGGTCAGGGACCTAGTACAACCAATACACTGACATCTTCAAGTCTACAGTATGTAGTACATGGAAAATACAATATTCCCCAATGCTGCCATCTAGTGGCAGTGTTCAGCATTTAGAAAGCATGCAAGTCTATGTCACTTCTGTTCTTTATGCATATAATAGCGCCACCTAGTGGGAGCTGGATGCTGCTGAGCCAGCAAACTGTTATATTGAATCTGTTAGAAGATGGATGTTTCTTTTGGTAATTTTATATATTTTTTTTATTGCTACAGTCATCTGGAGACTTTGGCAGTGGCCTCCCAGAAGAGGTAGTGCTTGAGGTAAGGAACAACATCTAACAAGTTGATGGGTCACATGACTATAGCATAGAATCGTGATTATATTCCTTCTGTACTGAAATGTATTGTAATTGTCTCCCTTATATTGTAAAGCGCTGCGCAAACTGTTGGCGCTATATAAATCCTGTATTATAATAATAATAATAATTAGTGACTCTTTGGGTTTGATTTACTAAAGGCAACTAGGCTGTGCACTGCAAGTGTGCTTCATCTGCATGGCAAAGCAGTTGCTTTATATCCGAGGGGAAACTCTGAAATGAGGCAAAACTATGCTAATTTATTTTATTCAATCATGTGCAAGCAAAAATACTATTTTTTTATTTTCCTTTCATGTCCCCCTCAGATCTAGAGCAGCTGCACTTTTAGTGCACTTCCAAGTGCACAGTCTATTTGCCTTTCGTAAATCAACCTCTTTGCATAGTACCAGAATACTTGGGAGGGTTTTACAGATTACATTTATCATATGGGGAACACATACTGAAAATGGAATTGATACCAAAATAAAAGCCACTTAGTGTTGCATCTGTTCAAAGTTCAGACACTGTAGAGAGTATTTCCTTGAGATCATAGAAATATCACCAGCATGGAACAAGAAAGGTGAATGAGACATCAGATTTTACTGGCTACATACTTGCTCATGGTCAACAGGTAGTGAACCTGGTATCAAGATGACAGCCCTATATCCCACACTTCTAGGACCATGACACGTTAGTCACCCTGGCTCTGGAGGAAAATTGCCAGTAAAAGGATGGCTAAAGAAAGTACTTACCTGCTGCTATGGCATTGACCTTTTGCTGTTTGAAATGCTGCAGAATCTACTTTGCTATTAAGGGAGCAGCAAAGAAATGACAGCATAGCATCAGGTGAGTGCTGTCCAATGTCCTGTCACTACTGAATTACTATAAGTGGCAGGATCACTAGTGTGACATTGACCTTATGTCAGGTAGATCTATGATTATAAACCTACCAGCGTGTTCATGGATTGTGAAACGTATTGAAACCTGGAACAACGCACCTGCTGGGAATTGACCTCAGGGCCACATATATTCTATTGATGTCTTACTGTCTCACTCCATTCTTATTCACTGTTAGGGGGAGCCACTCCTTCCTCTTTATTTGCCAGTGCCACTTTTATACCACAACTAGACTATTATATAATGATGAAACCCCAAGCAGGGATAACACCTGTCATTTCTTGTGTAAATTGAACCATAAAATGGTTGATCCTATATATTCTTATGGTAAATATTCTGTATTGTAGTGCAGCTATATAGTCTTTTCTTCTCTCAGCTCGAGTTTTTATTGTAATCCTGGTTTTAAAATGTTTCACCCAACATGGATATGTTGGTTTTTTGGTGCACATGGGTGAGATAAATTATCCACTTACTTATTCAGCACCTTACCCCCCAGTCCCTTCCTGTATTTCTCAGTTGGGCCACCCATCCTATTGATGGGTCACTGAGGAGCTGTGGGGGTATGCCTTCTTATTCATTTTCTGTATTTGCAGTTTAGATTCCCCCTAGTTTAGTAGCTCCTAAAGCATGCTAGGGGACCTTGGGGTGTGTGTACCCACATTCTTCATAGTTTACATGGACTGACTTAAGAAGAGGTACAAGTTATTAAAATGTTAAGGTGATGATACTTCCTTTGGAGTAAGAAAGCTGTAAAATTATTTGGGGGGGGGGGGGTGATGTGCCTCATCAGCTATGTTTATTAATGGCTTCTATTCTATTAATCAGGTGACTCAAGCTCCAATTATAATAAAACCTATCACAGTACCCCCCATACAGAGACCATCTGTAGAAAATGAGCCTGAAGTTATGAAGAAGGTTCAGGAGACTATACAGAAAATTGATGTTTCAGGTAAAGAAAGAATGCATTACTTTATACAAAATCACATTATAAGAGTATCATTTTCAAAATAATTTGTTTTTGGTTTCAGATTTGTTGATGTTAAAGTTGTGTGTATGTTTCTGCTCTGAATGCACCTTTCTATATTAACAAAGCAAAGTTTAGGTAGCATACAACTACAAAAGTCATGGAGGAGTTTTCCTGGTACCTGCAATAAGACGGTGCCATTCGGCTGTCATTCTGCTTCACGGTGAAGGGAACCCCTGCTGGCCAACTGGTGTAATGACGATTCTTGCTAGCGGAAGCAAGGCTGGACTAGACAGGACATAGATAGATTGTGTTTGATTGGAAGCCTCATCCCATCAGTCATTTCTGTATTAAATATTAGGTTACAATGATTTTTTTAGTTATTTGTAAAGGAAGCCAAAAAAGGATTAACTCATTAATATGAGTTAATGTTTTTTTTTGCTTCCTTTCCAAATAACTAAAAAAATCATTGTACCCTAATATTTAATACAGAAATTACTATACTGGTGGGACTGTCATATATAAAAGAAAGCTGTTATATATAATCAATATTGCTCGTGTTTTGGGTTTTTAACGGATGTTCCATAATACTGTTGTATTTTATATCACCTTGTAAATCAAGTCAAGATCTTGAGTTCCAAATAGGCATACATTCTTCTGTATTAGAAACAAAGATTTAAATAAAGGCTAGAATTTAACAAAACATGCTGCTATATATTATGTTATAATGTATTATACTCACACTGGAGTGAATAGCAGCTGAAGAACAGATTGATGGAAATTCATTAAAAAAAAAAAAAAAAAGTAAATTTTGTGGCTATCCTGTAACAAACATACAGGTCAAGGAATTTTGAGCCAGCATTTCTAATCCATATACTTGTTCTGGGCCAGCGACACAGAAAATACTAAAGCCACTGGACCTGTGAAAGCCAGAGAATAGACATTTTTTAGAAGGAAAGATCTGTTTTGGCTGGCTATATAGTTCTTCAATCCAAGTTTCCTTTACCATACATTACAGGAAGTGGGTCACAGCCTTAAATCATTGTAGAAACTCTTGTTACAGGCAAGCCTGGACAGAAAGGAGATAAAGGAGACAGTGGTGATCGTGGTGAGAAGGGTGAAATGGGACCAATTGGGCCTAAAGGAGATACTGGTGACAGTACAAGTGCAGGCAATGGCCCTAGAGGTGATAAGGTGAGTTCAATGACTGTTAAAATCTTACTCCACCTGAAATTGAATATTCAGGTTTGAATGCTTGTTGTCCTATAACTGCCAGGAACTTTAAAGCGGAACTAAACCCTACTATTCTTTTCAGCCAAAGAAGCTGCCATCTTAGCTTCTCTAATCTGCAACTGCCATAGTGCTGCACATGTGATCAGTTATGACACCAGCCATTTGATGGTTTGATAGTTTGGTTGAGAACACAAGCAAATGTGGTGGTTAGCATTTCCGGCATATCCGGGAATCTAACAGTTTTTTTTAAACCGGTAAATTGATGGGTTTAGTTTCACTTTAATGACTAGATATCGACATCACAATGTCTGTTTCCAACTTACTGCCACAGCCATTTCAAAGACATATAAGGCCCCTTTCACATGGGCGTTCCATATGTCCGTTTTTCATCTGTCTGTTTACGGATGAAAAACGGACAGCCATGTATTTCTATAGACTAGCGGATATAAACGGATGATCATCTGTTACATCCGTTAATATCTGTTATTTTGAATGGAAGAAAAACCTATTTTTTTTCTGTAAAAAACAAAAATGGAATGGATGAAAAACAGATGTAATTGGCCGAAAAACGGATGTAAACGGACAAAAACAGATGTAAACTGATGAAAAACGGATGTAAACAGATGTAAGCTGACGAAAGCTGGATGTAAATGGACGAAAAGCGAATGTAAACTGATGAAAAACTTACCTAAACTGATGAAAAAACTGATGCATACAGATGAAGAACTGATGTGAACTGATGCAAACTGATGAAAAATTGATGTGAACTGATGAAAAATTGATGTGAACTGATGCAAACTGATGAAAAACTGATGTGAACTGATCTGTTTTTTCTGGGGAAAAACCGTAACAGAACTGATGAAAAAAGTGGAACACCCTGTGGAAAGGACCCTAATGGTGACAAATTCCTTTACCTGATTCTTTTCCATATGTAGACCAAACAAATAATCATAGCTCAGATGTAGAAGATAAAGGGAATCTTGTCAGTGGCTCTGAAAGAGATACCAGAGGGTTCCTATTGTAGCTATTGTAAGTACCTAACTTTAACTTGGTATCAGTGTCTTGAAAATCCCCTGTAAAGTCCCTTTCAGACTAGGAGATACAGGACTGGAAGCCAGTCAAGAGTGGTGCATGCAGATGTGCTTGCAGAAGTGAAGAGTAAAAGAGAGTTGACCTCATCAGTCTGCTGCTACTCCTTCACTGTCCAGTCAGCAGGCTGAGCGAGGAGAGAGGACGTCACCAAATTTCTTAACTCTAATTATCTTTAATACATTTATAACTGAGATTCTACTCTTATTAGGGGTAACAGCTTCTGATAGGAGTAACCTGACAAAAGTGCTATCCATGACAACATTCAATTCAGTGTTTTGATTGCTTATATATTTTATAAATGGTCTTGTTGATGCATAAATGCATAGTGACCCACAAATAGAAACATCACTGCAATCCCTGTTTCTTTGACAATCTACTATTTTATAAACATTGTGATTAATAATTTTTAGGTACTTATATAGCTCCATCAATTTACACAGCGCTTTACATATATATTGTACATTCACATCAGTCCCTAACCCTCAAGGGCGTACGATCTAAGGTTCCTAACTCACATTCATACATACACATACTAGGGCCAATTCAGACATGATCCAATTAACCAACCAGCATGTCTTTGGAGTGTGGGGAGGAAACTGGTGTACTCAGAGGAAACCCACGCAGGCACAGGGAGAACATGCAAACTGTTGGGATTCGAACCAACGACCCTAGTACTGCCAGGTGGAAGTGCTAACCATTTAGTCACTGTGCTGCCGTGTGCTCAACAGTCAGACTACAGGACACAAGAGCTGATATAAAGATAATCTACTTTAAATACTGCTAATATGTTAAACAAGAAAATAAAGTGGAACTTCAGGCAAATATAAAAAACGACCCTCAAGTTTGGTTAGACGTTCTTTCAGAGATCGAAAAACACATTCTTAAGGGCTAGTTCATAGTAGATGCAGTCCAGTGCATTTTTTTTCTGCATCAAAAATGCATGCACAGTGTTTTACATGTATTCCAATGGCGATAGTTCACACCAATGCAGTCAGTTCCATTCAGTTTCTGGTGCAGAAAAAAAATAGAATGTGCTGCATTTTTTCTGCACAGAACCATACTGGAACATAGCAAACCGCATCAAAACTGCACCGGACCAGAGTGTGGTGTGAACTGTAAGCAAAACCATATCCAGAATGTATCCAGAGTGCATTTTTGTAGTGTGAACTGGCCCTATATGTTGTGGTATAAAGCAATGAGCTATTACTATTATTATTCACTACTTTTACACAAAACTTTAGAATAAAGAAGAGAGACAGTACAGCTACAATACAGTTCACAATAAGAGGATTAGTAGGCCTTGCTCATGAGAACTTACAATCTAACAAGTACATTTTAATGCCTTTAATTTAGCTTCCCATATTTCCCAAAAATGAGAGTGAGAGGATATGTGCTGTGTGTCAGCTGGCCTCTACAGCATTGTACAATGCTTTCATCCTAGCATGTTTTAGCCAGTATTACCTAGAATGAAGGCGTACAACTGGACTTACAGAGAGAGTAGAAGGAGGATAGCTGCCATGGTGAATGGCGGTGTCCATACCTGTCTATACAGTGTGGCTGGTTTAAATCACAAGCCTGGCTGAACAGAATTTCAGATATTTTGGCCAGTAAACTCTACACATATAGGTAGCCACACACTGGCAGAGTCAGCTGTGAAACAATGAATAGGATTCTGACTTCAGATCAGTCCCCTCCCATTGGCCCTGAACACTGACGCATTTCACCTGATAAGACTTAATTGGTCTGTTGAATTCATACATGTGTGGAGCGGGAAGTGCTCTTAGAGAGGACCAGAACCTGGAGCAGTAAAGGCTTACACATTACTGTGTATTTAACTGTTGACTTTTTTACACCTTTGCATAAATTGGCTTTATAACGTTTGGACTGTTTGATCATTTCATTTGTTTGACGTTATTAATAATATATGTGTTTTTCATTTCTGTTAACTTAGGGCCAGAAAGGAGAGCTTGGAGTCAAGGTGAGTAACAGCTGTATACATATTGTTGGACATGCTTGTGCTTTAAATTCTTCTGATTGCTTATCCACATGTAATACTATCAATTTGTCTCTTCAGGGTGGTGCTGGGTTTGGCTATCCTGGTACTAAGGGACAAAAGGGAGATCCTGGATTACCTGGCCCACCAGGACCACCTGGAAGCTCTGGACCGGCTGTTGTGCAGAAAGCTGATGGCACAACTGTGCAGCAGATCACAGGACCACGGGGCCCCCCAGGTCCTGAAGGACCTCCAGGAAAAGAAGGAGAGCCTGTAAGTAATAAGCACAATGAACTGGTTGTAAATTGGTTTTTGATGTCTTGAGTGGTAAGACATTTTGGGAGCTTTAATAAGATCATATCCTATTCAAAATATTATAAGATAAAGTATACACGGGAACCCTACTCCGGTCAGAACTATTAGTTTTGGATAGTTTAGGGCAGAACACATCTCTGTAAGACCTTCTTGAGATTGAATTTTCTTTTTTCAGAACATTATCAGCTGATGTAGTTTCAGGCAGAACCAAAATAATTTTTTTGCATGTATAAATATAACAAAATGCTTTCAATGATATATTTAACAGACCAAAAGGGAAAAATGAAAGGAAGTTTACTGTAAAGGTTTATGAGCTCTTTAACTGACTACCAATGCCAAAATGTTTGTTGTCTGGTATTTGCTTAACCTAATATTATTCTTTATTTACTATATACCTGCCCAACAAACTATAGTAGATATTGCAGTATAGCATGTACTGTATATTTGTATGACTTGCAGAACAATATTTTAGGTTTGTAAGTTACTGTTTAATAGCTAGAAAACCATGTAATGACATGTTCTTACAATCATATGCTTTACATTACGTTCTCTTATATTTCAGGGTGATCCTGGTGAAGATGGCAAAGCTGTAAGTCTATAATATTGGCTGTTAAACTCTACCATATATATATACTACCACTATGTGTGTGTGTGTAAATCTGGTTCATTATACAAATAATAGCTTTGTACCTCTCCTGCCACACAACTGCTTTGCATGGACCATTTTGCTGCTGTTTTTCCTATTATGTTAAATGTGCCATTCACCCGAAGAATTTTAACAAATAAGGAATGTGTGACTTAAAGGAAACCACTGTACAAAATATTATATTCTGATAAATGTATGCAGTTAATACGTTGTAAGATAGTATTGATATTAATAATTTCTTAAGCTGGCCATAGATGAGTAGTTAATTTTTTAGTTCAGCCAGTAGGCTGAGTGAAAAAACAAAACAAAAAACAAGGTGGATGGAGGAATGCCTCCCGCAGGGACATTACATTTTGACAGGGAGACTGATTATTGGCTGCAACCGTTGATCAACTAAAGTTTTCCAACAAAAGTCAATCAAACAGTTAACTTCTGCTGAACAGGGACAGCTACACACTGACTGAAATCCCCCCTGAACTGGCCAAATTTCAATCTGTCTATGGCCAGCTCCAGTCTTGGTTCACATGCCTTTAAATTCTAAATCCATCTTTTTTTTACCATGTTACATGTTGCACCCCCAATCATGCAAACCATTCTGTCCAGCTAAAAAGAAAAAGAGGAGGACAAACTGTGTAACATTGTTAGGGGTGCTCGCAACAGCCATTCTTGGATTTGCATGGTTTCACTCAGCTTCAATACAGTTGATAGCTGTCTTGTAAATGAGCAAATATCATCTATTCTACTTGTGCCACAGCTGCCTTTCATTTTTAACCCAGCTGTGCATGGTAGCCAATCAGCTTCTAATCAGCTTGTTTAATTAGGCTTTGACAATAGCAGTCAGCTTGTTTATTTAGGCTTTGACAATAACACCTAGAAGCCGATTGGTTTCTATACAGAGCTGCACCACATTTTGCAGTCTCCAGTTTTAGTATATTGCCACCTATGCTTTTATTTGCCATTATTGTTTTGCAAAAATTATTTAATGTTCTATGGAATCTATAAAAAAAGACCTTAAACTATGCATTTCTTTTTCTGGTTTCACCAATATTAGTTTTAAAAATATTTTTCTCTAAATAAAAAGTATACATTTTATTTTATAGCTTGTCTCATTCTCTTTCTAAACTAGAAAGAAGGTTTTTGGTATAAAGTATGCCAAAGTTATTTGCAAATAAATGAAAGGCATTTTTCTTTTCAATTTGGCACATTTTCTGGCTATGTGGCACTGAAAAAAAAGGAACAAAGAAAAAGAATGAATGAAAAATAAATATGCTAAAAAAAGAACAAAAATGAGCAGAAAAATAATAACTAAGTGGAGGAAAGATTTCATTAAGGCCAATTAGGGTTAACTAGGGGGTTAAATAGGAATGCATTTTTATAAAAAAACGTAACTTGTAGGGTTTCTCTACAAGATGTCATATGCACACCTTTGATCTACATACAATGAAATAATATATTGATTCATTGTATTTGCTCAGTGACACTTTCAGAATATCTGCAGCTTTCATTTTGCACAGGAAATGCTGCATTCATGCTGTGTATTACAGTATTTACTGGCTGTGATTTTGACAGCTTGTAAATGCTGGTAATAGTGGCAGCGGTGGCAAGTAGCCTGGATTTGGATGTTTGAGATTTATCATAAAATCTTTGTTGAAGCACTTTAGACTGTATATCTAATACTCAAAGGCTCCGTTCACACCAATGTGTTTTAGTGCTTTCTGCAGAAACACACTACAGTCCATTTAACATGGTTTCCTGTGGAACATGTTCACATCTATGCTTTTTTGAGCTGCTGCGTTTTTTGGAAAGGGTCAGGGACTTTTTTAAAAGCAAAAAAGCAGCATTTTTGCTACAATAGATTTCAGTGGAGAATATGTTGAAATGCATGCTAGTGTGCTTTTACCGCGTTTTGCATTTTTATTCTGCCCAGCAAAAAAAAAAATTCCACTTAAAAAAAAAGGTATAAACCATGTTAAAAATGCATCATAAACGCGTGTAGAAAAAAGCAAAATGAACTGCGAAAAGCATTGCAAAACGGACAAAAAGCAAACTCGGTATGAACGGAGCCTAAATCCTGAAGTGGTTAAAATCAGAATAAACCCATGCCATACAAAGCAATGGCAACCCTGCAGCAGGTGAATTCATTTTATGGCAGTCTGATAGAAGTATGAAAACTGAACCTTTTGGCTTCCAGCGACTTGCTTTTCTTTCTGTTACCTTTGCCTATCCCATTGTCTGTTTGTCACAAATATGTTCTATGTGGTACTCACCAAGGATATTATTCCAAGAATTTATCTGAGTTTTTTTTACAGAATACTATTGTTATATGCCAAAAAGGTAAATCAACAGCAGGTTGTTTTTGCATTATAATATAAAGCTTATAGCAATCCATGAGCTATCCATAAAATAGTACTACCTTTTTTTTTTTTCCGTTATACATTTCCAATCCGTATGCTTTTTTCACAAACCCATAAACAGATTATATGTTGATGTAATACTAGTGCAATCATTTTTTGTCCCTTACATTCAGGGGGAAGTTGGACCTCAGGGATTTCCAGGAACTCCAGGTGATTCAGGGCAGAAAGGAGATAAGGTATTTACATTTTTGTGCTGCTTTAATTAAGACATGGATTATTTTTAGGTTTATCCCCAGCGAAATATGTCCTAAAAGTAAACATGGGTAATTTTGTAACAGAAATTTGTCTTTATAGCATATTCCCTGCATGTGTGTCATTTGTAGATGTGATGATTATAATTGTACTTTACACACAGGTGCTTAAGGCCCTTTTCACACGGAGCAGTTTCCATTCTGATTGGCCCGCTGTGCTCTGATCAGCAAGGGATCTGTGAGCTGATCCCCTGCTGATCAGAGCACAGCGGCCAATGATACAACTGTGTCCACTCAGTTTCTGCAGAGCAGACACAGACAGAGCCCATCTCTGCTCTAGGGTGGCTGAGATTAAACAGACTTCGCTGCCCGTTTACACCTGATTACCCTCCGATTTACTCCACCTAGATGGAAGAGAACAGATCTCCTTCTGTTTTTTTTTTAGCTGACCTGGAGGTAGGTGGGCATAAACGGACACAGGTCCATTTACACTCACCTGTCCATAGGGATGAATAGACCTGCTGATCAAGTCTGTGTGAAAAACTGACAGGTGGACCTGATCAGAACAGCTCTGTAAAAGGGACCATAGATACATTTGCTTGGAGCTTTGCTCAGCATATGCTGGTGCTTAAAGTGGAAGTAAATTTTACCTGAGCACCACAAACTGAAAATGCTATTTAATTCACTTTTACTATTCCAAGCAAATTCACCCATCTATCCATGTCTCCATGTTTGCTTTGTTGAGAAATCACTTTGAAAAACACTCCCCCCATTATATCTAACATTGGCCATATTGAGTAAGGGAAGATGATTCATGTAGCATTTGCTTCCTGGAATCCACAGGTCCTTACCTCAGGCATGCAGGTAGGAGGGTGTACTTAGCTAAGAAAGCCCCATGTCCCCTCCTCTAGATGATAGACAAAAAATGCACATGAAGACTCCTGAGATCTATGATATTATTTTGGTCTAGACTAGAAACCAAGAAGCACCTGAAGTAATGTAAAAAAAAAAAGATTTAAGGCACACAGGGTGTCTGAAAAAGCCCATCTGAATGCCAGAGCTGCTGGCAAGAAATTGCGGCTTAAAAACACACTAAAAGCCATGTATTGCACATGTTTATGTTCATATAGCGCTTGAGCATGAATGCATTCTACTGGCCTGAATAATATTTTATTCTGGCCACTGGAATGCATTTACGTGCATCCATTTTACATCTCTAGTGTTTATGCGTGTTTAAACATTTTTAGCTGTATATAGCAGTTTTTTTTTGCTTTTAAGCTCCTCTCCAAAACAAACCTTTAATTTTTTTTCCCAGCCTTTAAACATTCCTCTTCTAATACACCAGTAACTGACTGTGCATGCATGGACACAAGCATACACAGAGGTGCTTTTATAGGCTGAAAAAAAAAAAATACAGCATTCAGTATCTGTATAGGCGGCATTTTTTTATTTTTAGGTGTGTATAGCATTTTTTTCTTGCTTTTAAGCTCCTCTCAAAAACACACCTTTAATCTTTTTTTCCCAGCCTGTAACATTCCCCTTCTAATACACCTGTAAATGCCTACCGCTCAATACCTGTATAAGCGAATGTAGAATATCTTTCTATCTATTCATTAATGTTAACAGCATAAGGATTGCCATTAGTAAATGTTCATTGAGAGACTTTAGTTCCACTTTAAGCCTCAGTAGGCTCATGGGGGTTCATTTACTAAAGACATAGAGCATGCTCCCCTTGCAGAGTGGATGTTCACTTGGTTTAATGACTAAAGTGAAGCTTTACTCACATTAAGCATCCAGCCATACCCTAACTAAAGGTTTTTATCAGGAGCAAAAGTGTGCTTGTAGTCCATTAATTCTTCTTTCAGCCCTGTAACTAAAGGGTGTCCTTACCTCAGTACAAACCTGTCCCTAGAGGAATAGTCTACAGGAGCCAGATCATTGCAACCCTAATCCACTGAATGATTTGCATCCCCAATGCAAACATAATAATAAATGAACATATTTATTAATCAATACGGGTACATTTATAATTTTTTTTTAAAAAGGTAGAATTAACAACCAGTAAGAAACCGCCTTGCATTTTTTGACTGTTCCAAACCAATGAAAGGTTGACATAGATTATGGCACTATAACCATTATCTTTGGTCTGCAAATAATCTTTAGAACAACAAGCAATAATAGACACATGTTCCTTTTTTTCTCAGGGTGATACGGGTGTTGGAAGTAGAGGACCTCCAGGCCCACCTGGACCCCCTGGCCCACCTGGCCCAGGTTCCAAAACGGATAAATTGGTAAGGCGTGAGACAAACACATGGTACCCTATCAACGTTTATGAATGTTGTGGGTAGATTTTTACATCCTTTCATTTAAAGTAATGCTACCATTCTGGGGTGTATGGCAGCCATGTTAATCTCAAAGATTTTGGCAGACTTAATTGCAAAGCCCTACCTGCTTTTTATTGATTTATATTTGTATAGCTCATTCAAGTGCAGTTGTTGATTTTTTTCCAAATGAAAGCTAAACAGAAGGGAATGCATTTATTGTGAATTCCCACTATAATAATATGACAATTCTTTTTAAGGTGCTCTGGGAAAGAATTGGTTATGTATTATCATTAGATGTTAATAAAATTCAATTTCAGAATTGCATGTTTTGCTTTTACGCTTGTTATATCAATTATATAAAAAAAAAAACCTATAGTCTTCCTTTATTAATCATTATTTTGCCATAAAACTAAACTATGACACAACTTGATAAGAAAGGACTTTTATGAATAATTGTCTTTATTTATTTACTCATTCAAAATACAGTTTTGAGAGTTTTTTTCTATTAATATGTGTATCTATATAATAACTTACTTTTTTTTTGTCTTTCAGACATTCTTTGATATGGAGAGCTCTGGCTATGGCCCGGATTTGGAAAACCTTAGGGTAAATTACTATTCAGATCACAACAATCCATTTTATTTATTTCCATATGAAAGCTAACAGGCATATTTAATAGGGGAAAAAGTATTTGGATCAAAGTAATGCATAGTAACAAATCAAATATATTCTTTCAGTGATACTCATGCTGCCATCTCATAGCTATGGGGTATACTAAGTGAGTTGGACAAAGTCACAGATGTCTGATTTTGAGTTAAAATGTACCAGAAAAAAAAAATGTAATTATACGGTTTGTCTGTATCAATTGCAAATGACTAAAATCAAGTGCTGATGTGGTCCTAAACTTGTCTTCTTGTTTCTTTTATATATGATTTGCAGGGACCACCTGGTTTGCCTGGTCCACCTGGCCCTCCTGGAGTACCTGGATTACCAGGGGTGCCAGGAACCTTTGGTGGAAACAACACTGGAATCCCAGGACCCCCTGGTCTACCTGGTCGGCCTGGTCAAGATGGAATACCCGGACCCCCTGGCTTACCAGTAAGCATATATAATGTTCTAATATTTTGCTGGTTGTGTGGTGGTCTGTAAAGGCAGATAGATTTATACCTTTTGTGTGGGTGTCAGGTAAACCTTCAGAAATAACCCTGAGTTCCGCATTGTTCACAAATGAAGGATGGGGTTTAGAATAGTGTAAGGTGTAAATTGTGTAATCAGATCATGGCTTGAGCCCAATGGAGACAGGGCAGTGCTAAACAACTTTGACATAGGGCCAAGCAGCTAATTTATGACTTTAGTAGCTTTTATTCATACATAAGGCAACAATGTAGAGAATTTCTGGAACAATGGCTCGACACTTCTTAAACTTGGTGTGCCATGTCACATTTTTGAGGGACTAGACCAGTGGTTCTTAACCTGGGTTCGATCGAACCCCAGGGGTTCAGTGAGTCAGTCTCGTGGGTTCGGCAGAGGTGAAGACCCACACCCGACTCATATGATTCGTGCAGTAAATATTCATTATTATGTTTTTGTTTTTGTGTGAAAATCATGTTTTAATGGTTTTGTTCTTTGTTCTTAATGGTTTTGTTCATTTTGTGCACCTATGTATAAATATATACCTATGTTTTGAATTTTAAAAATCATATTTTATTTTTCCAATTAAGAAGGGTTCGGTGAATGCGCATATGAAACTGGTGGGGTTCAGTACCTCCAACAAGGTTAAGAACCACTGGACTAGACCAATGCACAGTTACTGGTTTTCTAGCAGTTAGGGGTTGATTCACTAAAACTGGAGATTTCAAAATCTGGTGCAGCGCTGCATATAAACCAATCAGCTTCCAGTTTGTGTTCAATTATGCTTTGCATAAAAAAATCTGAAGTTAAAAGATGATGGCTAATATGCACAGCTACATTATATTTCTGCACTCTCCAGTTTTAGCAAATAAATCCCTTACTGACAACATTGTGATGTCACTAGTTCATAGAGAACTGTTAAGCTGCGGTTCTTGACAAGGAGGCCTAGCACCAGAGACGTAGCTAGAACCTTCGGACCCTGGTGCAAGAAACCATGAAGGGCCCTCCTGGTAGAGGTCCTTCCCACTGATCCTGGAGCCATTTACTCCCATTGTGAGACCCTTTATTACAGTCCCGCAGGGGCCCCTTTTGCCATCTTGGCATTCCCCCACAGTGGTGAAACACCAGGGGTGTCAGTAGTTTTTATTTTTTGTTATTTTATTTTTTTATTTTAATTTTTTTACCATTTTATTTTATCTGAGCCACAGCAGCACAGAATGAATGAACAGGAATAACACTGTACAGAGCTTCCCATTCATTCATAAACTGAAGCATAGTAAGTAGTTTATTATGCCTCAGCTATGAATTAATAAAGAAAACTGACTGTACGCGGAGATCATTAGGACTAGGAAGAGACTGGTAAATTATATATTTACTGGCCCCTTACCCACTCTCCATCCTGACAGTATCCCCTGCAGCAGCCGGTGGGAGAGGGGAACCCGGCGGCGCTGCAGACGGGGGGGGGGGGGGGGGGGCAGGGGAGTACACAGGGGCCTGGAGCAGCAGGACAGGGATAGGAATGCAGCAGAGGCAACATGTAGAGGAGCTGGTCCCCTCCATTTCCCTCATGCAACTGTTGAATGTCTGCGGGAGGGAAAGGTGGAGAAGTGGGCATTCAGGAGCTGCATGAAGAGATCGCTTTCTCTACATGCTGCCACCACCTCCTATCCAGGTGTACAGGGGGGCTGCATGGCCCCCTGGAGCATTGAGCCAGTTCACAATCACAACCCCTACGACCCCTGTACATACAGTCAAGTCTATAAATATTGGGACATCGACACTTCATCGACAAATAGACCTTTAATTTTTCAGGAGAATTTTTCTGATTTCCATCATCCAATCATATGTAAGCAAATACACTTTTTTGTAATTTTCCTTGCACCTGATTGGGTATTCTTTGCAAAGTGAAATTTTACCACATTCACTATGCTCTGGAGGAAATACTTTATTTAGTTGGACTTAATGAGACAAACAAAGTGCAGTAATCCAGAGCAATTCATCTTTTGCTGCTTCGGTGGTAAACTGAAATCTGTTTTCTATACTTTGTGCAGTCATTACTGTCTGCACAAGTTTAAAAAATAAATCCACTTGTATTTTCATAATTCAGTCCTCAAGTTTTTAAAATAAAAATACAATTTTTAAAATTTGAAATGCAATTTACAAATGCATAAAATTATACATCATCATATAGTATACAGTGAGTGCATTTACTAGTTTATGTCTAGTTTAGGACCCTATTTTTACAGTATGTCTAGAAACAATAACTTCTTTTTCTGTAGGGTACCCCTGGAAAAGATGGAAACTCAGGGACTCCTGGAATTCCTGGAGAGAGGGTGAGAAGTATATTTTTGATAAAATATTTAATTTTAGTACATGTATATGCCATATTTTTATATTTACTAACTTTTCAACTGATAAGAGACATTAAACCAGTGGATAGTTTTTCAACATCTACTCAAAAACATACAGTAGGTATTATGGGCAGATGGTACATTTAAAGCCTAGTTCCAAGGCAAAAAGTTTACATCGTTTATTTAATTTTTTTGTAAATTCTTTATTTAACATTTGAAGTGTAGGAGATTGGTACAGAAAGGAAAAAGGGGATGGATTACACATGTCAAAATGACACTTGCATTCGATAGACAGGCAAAGTCAAACAGGAAAAGGATTCAGTACATACAGAAAACATATGTGTGCACACAGAATAGAGTCAAGTACAATAGAGTGTACTGTTGGGTTTCTTTTTGTCTTTGATCCCATTGGGGAGATTTTCGCTTTACTGCCTGTCAATGTTGCCACCATACACAAAAATGGGTTGTGGTTGTCATTGGGAAGGGATGGCATAGACAACAACGAATACATTAGCAGAACTTATACCGTTTCTGCATTCTGCTAGAAATGTGTTGTTTTGTTGGTGTCCCATTGGAAAGTTTTACTATCACTTCCTGTACTGGCATGAAGTTATAGGATACCTTGCTAATTGGGACACAGAAAAAAACAGAGGCCCTAACCCTTCCCCTTTTATTCAAAGCTCAGTATAACTTTTATTAAAAAATATCGCACATACTCATAGAAGGAATGAAACACATACCTTAATAACGGCAATTCTATTGTGTAGGGTACTGATGGTGATATCGGACTTCCAGGAGCTCCAGGGCCCAAAGTAAGTTAAAAATGTATTTTTTTCTATTGTTCATACTTATTTAAGACTTGTTCTCAGAAATAATTTCAATGTCCCGCAGAGTACCTTATCTCCAATCCCCTCCTATTTGAAGGAGATTCTGTCTCGTATTCCCTATGAGGTAGTCTGGCAGGTAACAATTGGCAAACTCCCAGCATGCATTCCAAGATGATGCTGTTTGGCTCTTCCAGCATGTAGTGTAAGAAACTGAACTCATAGTTTACCAAGCATGTAAAAAAATGTGGTGTACATTGGTAAAGACCAGTGTTGTTACTGTGTTAAGGTGGAACTAAAGGTAGGAATACTCACCTCTGCTCCAATGGCTATGGCACTAGTAGCTTCTTCTGGGTGCCGGTCTTTGGCTGTGTGGAATGATGGCACTCCCATCCATTGGCAAGAGTCATTCATCCCGCCACAGAGGCGCTGTGCCAGAAATGTAAATGGAGCTGCGCAAAGGATTGTGAACAGGCAGGCAAGTGTATTTTATCGCATGTCTCTTCTGCAATAAAGAGCTGCCTGTTCACAATTTTTTATTTTTAGCCTTTAGTTCCACTTTAAGTATGACCAAGACAGGCTTACAAATGAGAGTTGCGAAGAGCAAATACGATGTGCAAATTGTAGTGATGCTTAGCAGCCAATCCAGTTGTACTTCACCGCAGTCAGATCTATTAGGCAGTGAATTCTGATCGGTTACTCATTTTGTACATCATTACTGTTCTTTGTACTTCATTGATAAGTCTGTAAGTGTCACAAAGCATGTGTTGAAAAGGAGTGCAGTGCAGTCTTTGTCTTTCATAATATGTAGTGCAGTATTGTATCTTGTTGTTTGTAATGTGGTCCTTTCAGGAATGGCCTGTATTGGTGTGTGATGAAGAGGGAATGGTTATGTTTTACAGCATGTACTGGAAAAGTTATGTCTCGCAACTTCTAATATTATCATGGCCACAAAAACTATGCAAAACGGGGTGGATTTACTAAAGGCAAATAGACTGTGCACCTTGCAAGTGCAGTTACTCTCTGTAAGTGCAATTGCACTCATTTCCCCAGAGTTAAGTAAATGTAGTAAACGTTCTGCAAATTTCCATCATCCAATTACATGCAAGCAAAAGTGCTTTTTTTCCCTTGCACCTGATTGGGTATTCTTTTACAAAGTGAAGCTTCACCACAATCAGTAAGCTCTTGGGAAAATGGGCAAAGTGCACAGTCTAATGGCTTTTAGTAAATCTATCCCAATGCATTATGTATGTGCTAGTCATGGGGAAAATAAACCATTGTGGATGAAAAGATCTCACACAATAATTAAAAGGAGAACTTTGGATGAAAAATATTTCCTAGAAGGATGTCTAGAAAGTGTATAATTTGTAAAAGAGTCCACCTCCTCCCTTTCCCATCTTGCAAAAAAAAAAAAAAAATTAACATAAGGCCAGCTCTTGTTGTTGAGCTCACATTAAGGGGGAGATTTACTAAAACTGGTGCACTCAGAATCTGGTGCAGCTGTGCATGGTAGCCAATCAGCTTCTAACTTCAGCTTGTTTAATTAAGCTTTGACAATAAAACTTGGAAGCTGATTGGTTTCTATGCAGAGCTGCACCAGATTTTGCATTATGCAGTTTTAGTAAATAACTCCCTATGATATGGTTAGGAGCTGAATACATGGCTCAAAAAAAATAAAGGAACACTTTTTAATCAGAGTATAGCATCAAGTTAATTAAACTCCTGGGATATTGATCTGGTCAGTTAAGTAGCAGAGGGGGTTGTTATTCAGTATTGAGCTGCTTTGGTATTAATGAAATTAACAGCAGGTGCACTAGATGGACAACAATGAGATGATCCCCAGAACAGGAATGGTTTTGCAGGTGACTGACAACTGACATTTTTTTCTCTACTCATCTTTTCTGACTGTTTTTTCACTAGTTTTGCATTTGGCTATGGTCAGTGTCACTACTCTTAGCATGAGGTGATACCTACAGAGGTTGTACAGGCTGTCCAACTCCTCTAGGATGGCAAATCAATACATGCCATTGCCAGAAGGTTTGCTGTGTCTCCTAGCACAGTCTCAAGAGCATGGAGGAGATTCCACGAGACAGGCAGTTACTCTAGGAGAGCTGGACAGGGCCGTAGAAGGTCCTTAGCCAATCAGCAAGATTGGTATTTACTCCTTTGTGCAAGGAGGAACAGGATGAGCACTGCCAGACCCCTACAAAATGACCGCCAGCAGGCCACTGGTGTGAAGGTCTCTGATCAAACAGACTTCATGAGGAAGGCCTGAGGGCTCGACGACCTCTAGTGGGCCCTGTGCTTACTGCCTGGCACCATACAGCTTGACTGGCATTTGCCATTGAACACCAGAATTGGCAGGTCTGCCACTGGTGCCCTGTGCTTTTCACAGATGAGAACAGGTTCACCCTGAGCTCATGTGACAGACGTGAAAGGGTCTGGAGAATCCGTGGAGAACGTTATGCTACCTGTAACATCATTCAGCATGACCGTTTTGGTGGTGGGTCAGTGATGGTCTGGGGAGGCATATCTATGGAGGGACACACAGACCTCTACAGGCTAAACAATGGCACCCTGACTGCCATTAGGTATTATGATGAAATCCTTGGACCCATTGTCAGACCCTACGCTGGTGCAGTGGGTCCTGGTTTCCTTCTGGTGCACGACAATGCCTGGCCTCATGTGGCGAGAGTACGCAGGCAGTTCCTGGAGGATGAAGGAATTGATACCATTGAATGGTCCCCAATCTCGTCTGACCAAAATCCAATAGAACACCTTTGGGATATCATGTTTCGGTCCATTCGACACCGCCAGGTTGCACCTCAGACTGTCCAGGAGCTCAATGATGTCCTGGTCCAGACCTGGGAGGAAATACCCCAGGACACCATCCGTTGTCTCATTAGGAGCATGCACCGACGTTGTCAAGCATGCAAACAAGCACATGGGGGCCATACAAACTACTGAGTAACATTTTGAGTTGATGCAATGAAATTTCAGCAAAACGGACTAGTCTGATATTTTTCCCCATTGAGATCTGATGTGTTTTCAAAGTGTTCCTTTACTTTTTTTGAGCAGTGTAGTTAGTTAGATGGTTATAGATATAAAATTCAAATTCTCCAAAGGGAGGACTTATTTTTGCAATAATGTAATTTTTTCTTGGCAGATGTGTGTGTGAATATCTAACCCAGTGTTTTTTAAGGAATGTAAAGTGTATGTTCCTATGATCGAGCCAAAAATATATAGAAAAGTAATTTTCTTATATTTAGTCGGGTAATTATGAAATACTACAAATAGATATTTTGCATTTTGTCAGCCAGCAGCTGAAGCTTTAAGCTCCATTTGATGAAAACAAAACTTGAGGTGAACCTGTGCTTTGCATATACAGGGCAACATGTTCTCTTAATTAGTGGCCCAACCAACTGATTATAGTTACCTTTCCTTCACTCCATTTGGCTGCCAGAAGTCAATAAATGTATCTGTTTTTTTCAAGTAAGGGAGAGCATGTGACCCACTCTACATCCTTACTGTATGACAGCTCTGCTGCTTGGTAATTGGCTGTTGAGATATCCAAATTGAGTAGGGAGCAAGTAAGCTCCAAGTCACAGTTTGGAATTTATGACACTTCCAGCAGCTGAACATAGCAGCAGTTGTACAAAGGGAAGACATTAAGGTATACCTCGGCATAGCACGGACTCACTTTAATATAATAGCTGAAGCTACATTCTATGAATTTGCAGACTGACTCATTCCTTATCAGACAGCTGTTTGCAAGGTTTCAATGAGAGACAAATGTAGCGCCCTCCTTGATAGCTAGGGGGAGCTAGACTCCAATGGTTAGATAGAGGCTGAGCAGCAGCCCAGGTGTATTTGTCAGCCTGGGGTCAAATTATGGTCAGGGCTGAGAGGCCCAGCAGGCCAGCCCCACTGGAAGTTTCCCCTGCTCTGGAGATTTGGAGGGAGGCTCTGGAGGCAGTGAGTGGATATGAGAAGTGGCTGACTGCACTCTTGTGAGACCCCAGCCAATCCCCAACAAAAGGCTTGGCAAGGGTCTGGGACACCCTTAAAAGTGTTAGAGTCTGATCAGTAGCAGGAGGATTGGATGAAGAGGTGTGGGTGGAAGATGGAGAAGTGAAGCTGAGGTACAGGAGCCTGGGAGGGAGCCCAGGCTGGAAGGGGCTCACCGCCAGGCAGAGGGACCTTGAAGGGAAGAAAGCTGTGGACTTCAGCGGCCCCCTGAAAGAGGTCCACCTGGTAACAGGGAAGGAGTGGCCCAGCCGATAGGCCTGGTAGCAGCCACCTACCCAACAGCAGCACAGGAGAAGGACTCCCACACCCCTTGGGCCAGAAAAGGGAGAGAGCATTTGAGTGCAGAACCTAAATAGTTCTACACCCGGGACTGTTACATGTAAGTGGCAGCTTGGAGTCCCTTGCTTAGGGATTCCTCCAGACAGCTGGATCAAGAAGAGGATTTATCTGGGGTCTGGGGTTGTACACCAGGAAAGGCTGGAGAGCTCTCCTAGTTTGTGCTTGGCTTGCAGTTCCATTGGGCATCCCATACACCCCTTACACCATCCAAGGTTAACATATCTTAATAAAACATAAAACCAAGCTCAAGGACTGTTTACTGACTCCAAATGCAAGTCTGTGGAAAATGCGTGTTGCCTGGCTGTGCAGGACTATAGGAGGATCTAAATCTTCAGCAACTACTAAGGAGGGGGGGGGGGGGGGGGGGGCATTGCTATACAATAATGTCTGAAATGAGGTAAATGCTGGCATCCTTGCTCATAAGATAATCCATATCACTCTGGGAATCCTTTATCATACTTTAAGCATTTATTGCTAAAAAAAAAAAAACCAGCAAAACAACTGATAAAAATATCAGTTTAGAAACATGTAAGCATAGAAAGTCATGTAAATAAAATGTAACTATATCAATTAAAATGCAGCACTTCCCCACTGTGGACTGCAGTCTTTTAGTATACAGTGTCCCATCTGTATTTGGCTAGATGGTCAGTTTATGTAACCAAGCATTATATAAATGTATATTGTATATGACCACACTTAATACCCTAGGTACAATTAGGAGTGAGGCTTTGGGTAGTGGTCCATGGACAATATACGGAAGTGTCTCCTGAAGGAAGAATAACTTTTGGGTACATAAGAATGCAATAAAACATGCATATCATTCTCTATATTGGGTGAGGCACTGCTGTTTTGCTTCATGCCCTTGCTATCTTAACATCAAAGCTGCTCTATCCTTGAGTATACTAAAGCTGACCCAGGTCTCTCAACAAAGGAATTGATTTATTGATAAATTACATTGATTACTAATTATTGTAATTACTAATTATTGTATCTTTCTATGTCATGTCTAATAAAGTTTTAACTTTTGAAGCTATAAATATGTATAAAGCATCCAATAATATTAGTTTTTTGTGACGCATGCACTATAGCTTCAAGGATCACATTCTAACACAGTAGATCTTATATGAGCTAGCGATTTAGTTCCTTCAACTCCCAATCCCTAGTGGTTTATTGGTATTGAGGAATGATGGGTTTTTGCAAAGCCTCTACTGCTCTTACCACTTTAGTTGTTGTATCAAATGTTTAAGATGCCAGGTAAATATTGCACTAATTAATCTGTAGTCCTTATGCAAGGACATAAATTCTAAAAATATGCATTTTCTTTTTAGTCACCCACCTAAGCATAAATCCAATTTATAGAGAGCTGTAGAGAAATAGATTTTTTGGTTTGGCGCCCTTCCTGTGGCTAGGCAATGTATATGTGAATACAATGACAACCATAACATAATTAGTGTCCCAGCTTGGACTTCATAACAATATAATGTATGGTCTTTAATTTCTCCTAACTACAGGGAAGCACAGGAGAATCTGGTATTCCTGGAACTCCTGGAGAAACTGGATTAGCTGGACTTCCTGGACCAATTGGACCCCGTGGATTGCCTGGACCTCCAGGTCCACCTGGCCCTCCTAGACGTGGAACTGCTGATGGATTTGTAAGCATTTTTTTTTTTTTTTTGAGTGCCTTAAGGTATTGGTGCATAGGTGTGGGCTGTGCATATGTAAATTAAGTAAAGTATTTCCTCATAAATTAGGTTTCAGTGCATCTGTTGGAGGCTCTTTAGATTTTTCAGAGTATTCTGAAGTATTATTATATCAGTGTAATGTTTTAGACCACAAATCTCCTTGGCTATGTTGCAAAATGTCTAGTGAGTCTATAGCCTGACATTTGGATGTCTAATAGCCCAAGGCTATAGGTGTAGGTATACGATAACAAAGCTTATCTGTGCCAGTGCTGCTCTGTATCCAATGTGACGTTTCAGCTCAGATAATAGGATGCTTTTCTGGACAAATTTATGTATAAAAAATGATGTCAGTGTGCTTGCCAGGCTGAGTGTGACAAATACAGCTCAGATATACTGTATAATGCACAACAGCCCTCTAATAAATCTCTTGGAAAATATTTTTTAATGTCATTATATTGAAAGTTGTATTGACATTTTGTAGTACTTTGTTTCTTCCCTTCCTTAGCCTTGTTACTTATCTTTTGTTTAGGATGACATGGAAGGTTCAGGTATTGCTTTTGGTGGCCGAAGTGTACAGGTAATCCAATCTCTATAGCAGCGGATCGCATTAAAGTGATTGTAAAGGCTTGGATTTTATTTTTGTGCTTTTTATGCTCCCATGCTCAAAAAAGGTGTGGATTTTATGATCATAGATAACATTTTAGCAGTAGTAGAACATTGTACTGTGTTTACTATCAATTAATGTAGAAAGTTTGGAATTTAAATGATATGTATTATTGACTTACTTAACCACTTCCTGCCCGGCCCATGTACATAAACGGCGGGATGGGAGCAGTGCAGGAGCTGGTGGCCGGACACAGCGGAACACCGATTTCTGTACAGGATCTCTGTGCGAGGTCCCGATCATGTGATCACTGATTGGCCAATCAGTGATCACATGAATAGTAGTAAACAAGATGTCACTTCCTGACATCCTTGCTTACTACTAGTGAAATCTGTGAATGATCACAGAGGTCACATGGTACAAGGCTATTCACAACAGCCTTGTACCATGTGACACGCTGTGACCAATCACAGCTCTCACCGTATTTCTCAATGGCTGCAAGAATGCAGCCAGAGAGAAGGAGAATGATTGCTTTTACAGCCTTTATGGGTGTTAAAGCAATCAGTGTAAAAGAAAAAAAAAATCTTCATCACCCCCCACAAGTAGTACAGTGTCACTATAGTGACACTGTACTGCTAGGGTGATGGTATGTAAAAAAAAAAAAAAAAAAACATAAATAATAATATAAAAAAAAAAAATAAAAATGTAAAACAATTTTTTGGTTATAAACTAATTTGGGTTTTTTTTTTACTAAAAAGATAACTAAATACATTTTGGCCAAGATTTACGAAGAAAGATTATTTATTTGCAAAGTTTTATAAGAAAAACACATTTTTTTTAAAAATTTTTGGACTTTTTCATTTACATAGCAAAAAAAATAAAAATCCCAGTGGTGAAAAATACCACCAAAATAAAGTTTTATCTGTCTCAAAAAAAAAAATGCTAAAAAATTCATATGGGTACAGTGTTGCATGACCGCGCAATTGTCATTCAAACTGTGATAGCACTGAAAGCTGAAAATTGGCCTGGATAGGAAGGGGGTGAAAGTGTCTGGACTTGAAGTGGTTAAGGATGCAAGGTTTCAGAACTCATTGGGTTCTTTCCTCATCCATTAATAACATGAACTTTCCAATAAAGAGTATCACTTAAAATGGTTGGAAAGGTTAGAATTGTATATATTTACAAAAACAAACATGTCATATTTAAATGGTTTTGAACGGAGCAGCCCCCGTCCTCCTCTTCTTAGGTCCCCCGCTGGCACTCCTGTCCCCTACCCCTTGCCAAGTGCTCCTATAGCTAGCTATGGGGGCACTCATGCATGCTCGCTCCTTGTCTGATTGACAGCAACGGGAGCCAATGAATCCCACTACTGTGTCTGAGCCAATGGGGAGGGAGAGAGCAGACAGAGCCTCTACTCTCTTGCACATCACTGGATGGAGATTGGGCTCGGGTAAGTATTATGGGACCTGGGGGGAAGCTGAGTGCACAAATTTTTATGCCTTTTTACCTTAATGCAGTGAATGCAGTAAGGTAAAAAAAACTTCTCCCTTTAGAACCACTTTATGTAACTCTTTTTTACAGATCAGTGAGATACTATATGTACCTCAGAAATGGTACCACTAATGGTCTGTGTGTAACCATAGGAAACCACCTCTTATGGTGGCACACCTGTGGGCTTGCTTCCAAGCCAGGCTATGTGCATCCACCCTCATCCCTGCCCTCAGCTTCCTCCTCACAGGATTTGATTGACAGCAGGAGGAACCAATGGCTCCCACTGCTGTCTCTGAATCGGTGAGGAGAGAGAGAGACCAGCAGCACTGCAGACGGGCACAGCTTTGGATCGAGATAGGACACAGGTAAGTATAAAGGGAGGTGATGGGAGGATACAATTAGTGGGACATTCTTTACCTTAATGCAGTAAATGCATTAAGTAAAAAAATGTCTAGCATTTAGAACTACTTTAATGCCCATTCATAATCAATTGCAGCCACTATATATATATTTTCATTCAAATTAGGCCTCTCTCACATGGGGTACACTATAGCATACATCCATGGGAGGGCTGTGTTTACACAACACGGGAATGTACTGGTTTTCCATACATCCCTGTGCAGGCAGCTCTTTTGATGTCAGTTGGGATGCATCCAGCTGCACAGACACAGCCACTGCTCTGAATTTGACATTTGATGGATTTGCAGACATTGTACATTTGGGGCCATGCACCCACATGGATGTCAAATTGGGAGCAGCTGTGTCTGTACAGCTGCTGTGTGCTAATCAATGTCAATGGGAGTGCCTGCACAAGGATGCACAGAGCACCTGTGCATCCCCATGTGGGTAAACATGGCTCTCGCATGGGTGTACGCTGTAGTATGCCCCATGGGAACAAGGACTTAAATTTAAATTTTCGTATTCATCTTTGAAAAAGATACTTTCTGATACCATGTTGGAAACTTAGAATACATTTTGTTAATTGTATGCATTTTATGCTAAGCTGTGTTTCAGTCTTGATATTATCTAACATGTTTCTTCAAACTTTCATTTATCAGGGAAAGTCTGGAGTTCCTGGGGAAAAGGTCAGAAATATTTTCTCATTACTCAGTGTGTGAGGAATGTGTGAACATTGCAGGAGTGATTTGGTTTGTCTGTGTTAAATCTGACTGCACACAGCTGCTCTTTCAAATTTCAATATGTTTACTATTGATCCAAGCTGAGTCTGCAGGGCAGGGTGATGTGAGCGTGATATGCACTTCATAGCAATGACCTTTATTGGGTAGATGTATAATATGTGCGACATTTTTATACTTTTTTTTTCCTTCCACAGGGAGATGCAGGATTTCCAGGACTTCCAGGACCAAAGGTAGCTCATTATGAAAATTATTTTTAAGATAGTGACTATTTAAATTTTGTTTTTGTCTTACATGTAAATTGTCAAAATTCTGCTTGTATTTTGCCTCCTCAGCTTTCTCCCCCTTTCCCTTCATAAGCATGCTAATGAAATTATAATAAAACCTTTCCATTTTCATTATGTACTGTACCTTGTTTTAGACCACGGGTGTCAAACCGGTGGCCCTCCAGCTGTTGCCAAACTACAAGTCCCATGAGGCATTGCAAGATTGACAGTTACAAGCATGACTCCCAAAGGCAGAGGCATGATGGGATTTGTAGTTTCGCATCAGCTGGATAGCTGCCAGTTTGATAACCCGTTTTAGACTTACTGATGTAATTACTGGGTCTTTTTTATTCTATATGCAATGCATGCATATTATGGCTGGTGGGGGTCACAGGACCCTGCCTCAGTTCTCCTCTCAAGAACCCTAAACTCTGATGCAAGCAGTAGGCTGGCTTTTCGGAAGAGTTATGTAAATATTTAAATGCCTTAATAGGTGCATGTCAGTCTGGAAGAGTGGTCTTTCTAGGCAGACTGTTTTTACATAAAGCCTTCCCTAGATAGTCTCCAGTTGTGATGCTGACCCTTCATGGTTGAAAGAACTGCAATTTTAGGGTGGAAATAGTTAGAACAGCTGTGGGCAACTGCGGCCCTCCAGCTGTTGTGGAAGTCCATGCCCCATGAGGCACTGCAAGGCTGACAGTTACAAGAATGACGTCCAGTGGCAGAGGCATAATGGGAAGATGGCACTTACTGGCAAAGGCAGGATAAGATTTGTAGTTCCACAACAGCTGGAGGGCCACAGTTGATGCTAGAGGTCCTCTGCCTAACTTACTGCAGCTTTCATTGCACACTATGAAAAGCCCATAGTGTGCAGTAAAAGACTAAGTCTGGGTTCACACTTCTGCGGTGCAGAACATTGCATGTGATTCGCACAGGAACTGCACCGCATTCCTGTGCAAATCACACGCAAATTCTGTGTGGTGCAATTTGAGCCATACATTTTGTATGGCTCAAATCGCACTGCATCCGCACCAAAAAGGTGCAGGACCCTTTTTTTTGTCTGCACTAGAATCGGACCACATGGGTATTCTCACCCGCGTGATCCAATTCTGCACATCGCACCATGTTTTGCAAATCGATTATTGTTGTTAACTTATTATACACACCCGCAGCGGTTCACATGAACGGGGTGTGGTTATGATGCGGTGCGGAATTTGCACAGAAACTGGTGCAAATTCCGCACCGCGTCAGTGTGAAGCCAGACTCAAGGTAAGACTTTAAGCCAGGACTACCTGAGCTTAGAGGAAATGCATTTAGTAATTCTGGTCATCAGACTGAGGACATCTGCTGGCTGCAAAAGGTACTGTGGGGGATATATTTGGATTGTACTGAAAGCTGTTTTTGTTATGTTATCTTTTAATGAGCTACTTATATTTGTTTTGTTACTTTTGGTTGGAGTTCTGCTTTAAAAAGCTCCCATTCCAGACTGGTATCATTAGGAAAAGAAGTGCACCCATTAAAATCTGATGAATAAGTGAATAAATCTAAATCATTAATCAGTAGAACAATATAATTATCCTTTCCTCGTGATTACAGTGATCAGGTTTTTATTAGTATTGCCATTGTATTTGAGTTGATGAGAAATTAAGTCATATGATAATAAGTGAAATATAGGTGCTTGCTTCTAATGAGATATAACTCTCGGCTGTAACAGGGTGATCGAGGAATTCCTGGTTTGGATGGAAGACCTGGATTGGATGGATTCCCAGGACCTCAGGTAAATGCTGGAATGCCATTTCTGAAAACAACCTCTTTGTATGTTCTTCAGTATCTTTATCTGCAATGATTCTGTCACAGTGGAGACCTTTACAAAATTACTTTGTCTCTTTGTAACATTGCTGTAAAAAGATGCCAAGAATCAAAAAGACATATTCTGTATGCTGCTGCTGGTCGCAGACAATTCCTCTGTTCATTTTCTTTCTTCTCATCTATTTGTTTTATTTACTTCTATTTTCTTTAACATTGGTTTTTTTTTTTATGTGCTCATACTGGCCTATTCCTTTTTTTCACAAATGTTCTTCATTTGTATCATATTAATAAATGTAGATTTGTTATTTCCACCTTAGAATGTTATATTCCCAGTCTTAGGTAAATTCACCAATTTAAACCGAAATGTTACTTAAAGAACTTAAATTGCAATGACATATTATTTCTTCTAGGGTCCAAAGGGAGACAGAGGTGATCAAGGAGAACGGGTAAGCTTCAGTGGATCCATTTTATTCTGAGACTAGCTATACAAGTAATAAAAAAAAAAGTAATTCTTAACACGGTCCTGTAAAGTGGAAGCCATGTACAAAATGACAAGAAAGGGGCTAGGGGCTAATAACAATGTTGTCTGTGGGCTCCCTGCAGCTGTTTTCCCCTGGATGGTTTTGGCCTCATTCTGCATTGTGGTAGTAGCAATCCTGATAGCGAAGATTGACTTTGTTTCTTTTTACACCCTTCCTCCTTTCCCATCCCAATGATTGATGAACTGATGGTGGTGGAGATTTGTTTTTGCCATCTGCCTTCTACTGGGGGGATTTACCTTTGCTTCCTATCCAATAACCTGAACAGGAAGTAGGAGGAAATCTCTTCAAAGTGAGGAAATCCCTGGTTGTCACTGGAGTTACCAGATCTAGTGTCCCTATTAGAAGATTTCCCATCTCTTACTGTTATGGGAACAACCCCAAATCTGGGATTTTTTTTACATTCACTTTCAATGATATTGGTAAACGGACAAATAGAGAGGGTGAATCTCCCTAACGGGGGCACAGACAGCAATAAAAACCTTACAGGTGTTCTAATCCATCTCCAGTGTGTCCAAAAAAAAACTTGAATATTTTAATAAAATTATAGATATCACAATGGCTACTGGAGATGTCTAAAGTAGTAAGTGATGTGTCTGGTATAAAGCAACATTATACAGTCAGGTCCATAAATATTGGGACATCGACACAATTCTAACATTTTTGGCTCTATACACCACCACAATGGATTTGAAATGAAACGAACAAGATGTGCTTTAACTGCAGACTGTCAGCTTTAATTTGAGGGTATTTACATCCAAATCAGGTGAACGGTGTAGGAATTACAACAGTTTGCATATGTGCCTCCCACTTATTAAGGAACCAAAAGTAATGGGGCAGAATAATAATCATAAATCAAACTTTCACTTTTTAATACTTGGTTGCAAATCCTTTGCAGTCAATTACAGCCTGAAGTCTGGAATGCATAGACATCGCCAGACGCTGGGTTTCATCCCTGGTGATGCTCTGCCAGGCCTCTACTGCAACTGTCTTCAGTTCCTGCTTGTTCTTGGGGCATTTTCCCTTCAGTTTTGTCTTCAGCAAGTGAAATGCATGCTCAATCGGATTCATGTCAGGTGATTGACTTGGCCATTGCATAACATTCCACTTCTTTCCCTTAAAAAACTCTTTGGTTGCTTTTGCAGTATGCTTTGGGTCATTGTCCATCTGCACTGTGAAGCGGCGTCCAATGAGTTCTGAAGCATTTGGCTGAATATGAGCAGATAATATTGCCCGAAACACTTCACAATTCATCCGGCTGCTTTTGTCAGCAGTCACATCATCAATAAATACAAGAGAAGCAGTTCCATTGGCAGCCATACATGCCCACGCCATGACACTACCACCACCATGCTTCACTTATGAGGTGGTATGCTTAGGATCATGAGCAATTCCTTTCCTTCTCCATACTCTTCTCTTCCCATCACTCTGGTACAAGTTGATCTCGGTCTCATCTGTCCATAGGATGTTATCCAGAACTGTGAAGGCTTTTTTAGATGTCGTTTGGCAAACTCTAATCTGGCCTTCCTGTTTTTGAGGCTCACCAATGGTTTACATCTTGTGGTGAACCTTCTGTATTCACTCTAGTGAAGTCTTCTCTTGATTATTGACTTTGACACACATACACCTACCTCCTGGAGAGTGTTCTTGATCTGGCCAACTGTTGTGAAGGGTGTTTTCTTCACCAGGGAAAAGAATTCTTCGGTCATCCACCACAGTTGTTTTCCGTGGTCTTCCGGGTCTTTTGGTGTTGCTGAGCTCACCGGTGCGTTCCTTCTTTTTAAGAATGTTCCAAACAGTTGTTTTGGCCACGCCTAATGTTTTTGCTATCTCTCTGATGGGTTTGTTTTGTTTTTTCAGCCTAATGATGGCTTGCTTCACTGATAGTGACAGCTCTTTGGATCTCATCTTGAGAGTTGACAGCAACAGATTACAAATGCAAATAGCACACTTAAAATGAACTCTGGACCTTTTATCTGCTCATTGTAATTGGGATAATGAGGAAATAACACACACCTGGCCATGGAACGGCTGAGAAGCCAATTGTCCCATTACTTTTGGTCCCTTAATAAGTGGGAGGCACATAAGCAAACTGTTGTAATTCCTACACCGTTCACCTGATTTGGATGTAAATACCCTCAAATTAAAGCTGACAGTCTGCAGTTAAAGCACATCTTGTTCGTTTCATTTCAAATCCATTGTGGTGGTGTATAGAGCGAAAAATGTTAGAATTGTGTTGATGTCCCAATATTTATGGACCTGACTGTAGGTATCCAAGAGCTTTAAGTCATTGCTTGATGACTACTACAGCAGAATGAAAATTAGAGTGACCTCTATAGTCACCCAAAGTGCAAATGCAGTAGAATTCAGTTTTACTTTTTATCAGATTGGAAGGTTTTGGTTGCACTAATGTGTTACAATGCTTGTTGTAGGGAGAGCCAGGCCGTGATGGAATTGGGATTCCTGGACCACCCGGACCTCCTGGGCAAATCATTTACAGATCATCTGATGGCACAGTAAGCAGATTGTGATTTATTATGTATATTGTGCATGTATCTTGTTTATACCCATCTATAGTTGTCTTTGTGGATATTAACATATATGTTTCTTAAGTGATTTCATGTTATGTCTTCCATTCCAGGATACCATTGGTGGAATAGGACAGGTGAGGATGCCTGAAATGTAACTTCTGCATGTAACAGAGGAAGGAGCACATACTACTAAGTTACATTAAGTGGTTTAATTCCATTTACATGAAAGGGGTGGCCAATGTGTAACATTAAAACATCAAGAAAATATTGACTTCATGCATACAGATATATAATGCTCCAAGTGTGTATGGCTTTTACAAAATTAGAGGTAACACAGATCATACCAAATGTAGATATGTTCTAGATAATTCAATATCTCTTTTAAAATACTTAAAGCCCAACTCCTGGAAGCTAAAATTATCCCCTCCAGTGGAACTGCGTCCACAGTACAAGGGTTCACTGCTCGTTTTGTTTAGGGGAGAGGAAAAGCGCTTATACTTACCCGATCCTCTGCACCCCTGGTAGGTGGTGCCCCCTCCCCCCACCTTCTCTGCCAGTGGACTGTCCCTCATTATCACCACAATAGCTCTGCATTAGACTTAATGACATCAAGACCTTAGACTGCTGGAGTATGTCCCCTAGACCTACACAAGCATTTACCCTTGCAGTGTGAGTGTAGCCCTACAGCAAGGGATAATTTTAAAGTTTCCTGGAGTTGGGATTCAATGATCTCCTTTGGGTGATTAATATTAGGTAACACTCAACTTTTATGATAAATTTACTGTAAAATCAGATGTACCTTCTGAACCCCATAGAAGTACCCTCTGGGGTACCCAGAACACTGATACTCTGTCTAGATTGGACAAAGACATTTAATAGAAAATGTACCACATTTATTCTACACCATAGAAACAGTGGTGAGTGTCTGCATTTCTTATTGTAAACTCTGTTTTGTTAGTTTCAGAAACAAGTGGGGCATTGCCTCAAACAAACAGACTTAGTTTCAGATAGATGTTATACACATCCATTATCCATATTATACGATATCCATTGAGTGTGTCTCTTCTGATTGTGTATTATTTGTGTTTTCAGGGTACTAGAGGATACAAAGGAGAGTCAGGGGACCAGGGTTACCCCGGACTGCCTGGTCTGAAGGTAAGCATTTATTTAAGAATAGGCTACTTTTTATACTTGATTGTGTACATATTTGCTGATCAACCACTTCCTGCCCGGCCCATGTACATAAATGGCCGGACGGGAGCAGTGCAGGAGCGGGTTGCTGTTCATAAACTGCACCCGCAGTTTCAGCCTGTGTGCGCTCCCTGGTAGCGCGTGGCACCGCGATCCGGTGCCCGCTGTCTCCGGAGGACACAGCAGAACACTGATCGCTGTATGGGACATGAATAGTAGTAAGCAAGATGTCACTTCCGACATCATTGCTTAATACTTGTGAAATCTGTGAATGATCACAGAGGTCACATGGTACAAGGCTATTCACAACAGCCTTGTACCATGTGACAAGCTGTGACCAATCACAGCTCTCACAATATTTCTCAATGGCTCCAAGAACGCAGCCAGAGAGGAGACATGATTGCTTTTACAGCCTTTATGGGTGTAAAAGCAGTCAGTGTAAAAAAAAAAAATAAAAAATCTTCATCACCCCCCACAAGTAGTACAGTGTCACTATGATGACACTGTACTGCTTGGGTGACAGTATATATAAAAAAAAAACAACATAAACATGTAAAAACAAATTTTAAAAAAAATTATAATTTTTGGTTAGAAACGAATTTGGGTTATTTTGTTTTACTAAAAAGATAGCTGAATACATTTTGGCCAAGATTTATGAAGAAAGATTATTTATTTGCAAAATTTTATAGGAAAAACTTTTTTTTCAAAATTTTTGGACTTTTTCATTTATATAGCAAAAAAATTACAAATCCCAGTGGTGAATACATACCACTAAAATAAAGTTTTATCTGTCTCAAAAAAATGCTAGAAAATTCATATGGGTACAGTGTTGCATGACCGCGCATTTGTCATTCAAAGTGTGACAGTGCTGAAAGCTGAAAATTGGCCTGGGTAGGAAGGGGGTGAAAGTGTCCGGACTGGAAGTGGTTAAGAAAACAGAAAAACTTACAGCCTAGCAACTGAATTCTCCAGACTTGCCCTATCCCACCACTCTACAACACCATAATCAGTGTACCCCCTGTTGTAAACTCCAGATGCACACTTACCCAGGGCTGAATGTTGCAGCCTGCTGAGAGCCCTAACAGTGTTTGTACTCTCGAATCCATCTGTCTTCATTGATTTTCTGCAAATGTGCCTGTACTAAAAAAATAATGGGCCATCTCTGCTGTCTTTGGAGATGCTTGATTAACCACTTGCCATCCTGACTATTTACCCTTCTTGCCTCTTTTTGCTATTAGGAGCTGCACTATTTCAACTGGTAATTGCACAGTCATGCAATGCTGTACCCAAATGAAAATTATGTCCTTTTTTCACACAAATAGAGTTTTCTTTTGGTGGGATTAGATCACTTGTGTGCTTTTTATTTTTTGCGCTATAAACAAAAAAAAATTTAACAAAAAACAATATTTTTTACTTTCGACTATAAAAAATATATAGTAAGCTCAAAGTTAGTCATAAATTTAGACCAAAATGTATTCTTCTACATGTTTTTGATAAAAAAAAATCCCAATAAGTGTATATTGATTGCATTGTGTGAAAGTTATAGTGTCTACAAACTATAGTATAGATAAGGGGTGGGCAAACTTTTTGACTTGAGGGCCGCAATGGGTTCATATATTGGACCCGGGGGCCGGACCAAGAGTAGATGAATGATGTGTATGTGTCATCCATAGTAAGTATAGTAATATTCCCCCATAGTAAGCATAGTAATTAATCCCCCATATAGTAATTCATCCCCCATAGTAATTCATCCCCCATACAGTAATTCATCCCCCATATAGTAATTCATCCCCCATATAGTAATTAATCCCCCATATAGTAATTCATCCCCCATAGTAATTCATCCCCCATATAGTAATTAATCCCCCATATAGTAATTCATCCCCCATATAGTAATTCATCCCCCATAGTAATTCATCCCCCATATAGTAATTCATCCCCCATAGTAATTCACCCCCCATATAGTAATTCATCCCCCATAGTAATTCATCCCCCATATAGTAATCATCCCCCCATAGTAATTCATCCCCCATATAGTAATTCATCCCCCATAGTAATTCATCCCCCATATAGTAATTCATCCCCCATATAGTAATTCATCCCCCCATAGTAATTCACCCCCCATATAGTAATTCATCCCCCATAGTAATTCATCCCCCATATAGTAATTCATCCCCCCATAGTAATTCATCCCCCATATAGTAATTCATCCCCCCATAGTAATTCATCCCCCATATAGTAATTCATCCCCCATAGTAATTCATCCCCCCATATAGTAATTCATCCCCCATAGTAATTCATCCCCCCTATAGTAATTCATCCCCCATAGTAATTCATCCCCCATATAGTAATTCATCCCCCATATAGTAATTCATCCCCCCTATAGTAATTCATCCCCCATAGTAATTCATCCCCCATATAGTAATTCATATCCCCCATATAGTAATTCATCCCCCATAGTAATTCATCCCCCATATAGTAATTCATCCCCCCTATAGTAATTCATCCCCCCTATAGTAATTCATCCCCCATATAGTAATTCATCCCCCATATAGTAATTCATCCCCCATAGTAATTCATCCCCCATATAGTAATTCATCCCCCATAGTAATTCATCCCCCATATAGTAATTCATCCCCCCTATAGTAATTCATTCCCCTATTAATTCATCCCCCATATTAAGTCCCCAAGTCCCCCCTGTGTCAATTCACTTACCTTTGCTCCGCGCGTTCCTCTCGCCGTGTTCCTGTGCCGTTCCGGTTAGCATGAAAATCTGTCTCCTATGAGGATCTGTGCCCCTCGACGTATCTGCGCATGTGCCAGTTTCAGGCATTAGCAGCCGATCGGCGATCTCCGGCACATGCGCAGATACGTCATAGGAGATAGATTTTCATGTTACACCGGTCTTCAGGGCGGACTGTGAGAGGAGCCTAGCTCCGCGGGCCGGATTAAAAGGTCCGCCGGGCCGTAGTTTGCCCATTGCTGGTATAGATACTGCAATTTACGCCATTTTTTGTTATACAGCTCTGCACTAGTTTAACTGATAATTGCGCGGTCACGTAATGCTGTACATAAATGAAAGTTATGTCCTTTTTTTCACACAAATAGAGCTTTATTTCGGTGGTATTTGATCACCTGTGCGCTTGTTCTTTTTTTGCTCTATAAACAAAAAAAGACCGAAAATGTAAAAAAAAAAACTATATTTTCTCATTTCTGTCATAAAAAATATCCAAAATCTCAAATTTCATCACAAATTTAGGCCAAAATGTATTTTGATACTTCTTTTTGGTAAAACAATCCCAATAAGTGTATATTGATTGCTTTGTATGAAAGTTATAGCATCTACAAACTATGGTATAGATAATGGAATTTACACAGCTTTTACTTTCTGACTGCCTATCACATTTCTTGAGGTGCTAAAATACCAGGACAGTACAAACACCCCCAAATGACCCCTTTTTGGAAAGTAAACACCCTAAGCTATCTGCTGAGAGGCATATTGAGTACATGGAAGATTTATTTTTTTCCACAAGTTTTTGGAAGCAAGGTGCTATCCTGGCATTTCGGGGCCTCCGAAACTGTGATAGGTAGACAGGAAGTGTAATCAGGAAATAAAGCCCTTTAAAAGCCTGAAGGTCCTTATTGGATTTTGGGGTCCTGTATTTGGCTAGACTTCCAAACAGTCTCTCACATGTGGTACCCCCATACTCAAGAGAAGTAGCAGAAAATGTTTTGGGGAGTAATTCCATATATACCCATGGCATGTGTGCGCAATGAATCATTTAAATGACAATTTTGTGTAAAAATGTATTTATTTATGTAATTTTCCAAAAGTCCAGTGATGTACCAGTACGTCGCTGGTCCTTGTTTGGGTATATATGCTATGTTCTTTTTTTTTTTTTATGTGGGCTGAATGAAAAAAAGAGAAGAAATCTCTGCCAAAAAAAGTGTGTGGTATGCCCACCATTAGAATATACTGCCCTGCATCCACCCTCTTCTAATGTGCAAAAATAATATTCTAAAATATATATGCCAAAGCATAGGGGCCAGTCACCCCCTGGCCTCCTCATGTCCCCATGCTTCGGCATATATACTCTTTTTTTAACTGCAGTTGAAAAACCTCATCCAACAGCGCTGCCCACACTGACTTATGTATATTCTGAGAGCAAAACCCTGTTGCTGTCAGAATAAACAAGCCGATGCTCCAGCTGAATGACATCCTCATTTCTCAAGCAGGTTTTTTCCCCCTTTCTAAGACGGGTATTTACAAGTCATTGGGGAGAAGCCCCAGCGATTAGGTCGCACGGTGCTACATGCGCCAATTCAAGATTGTACAAATGTCTAAATATTGGCACGCTTGAATAAAAATTGTCCACGTATAAGTGGTACCCCATATGGACACAAAGTCCCAAACTATCTTGCCACTGCTTCCCTTGTAGTCTGGGTATCCAGGGGGGCTCCATGTGACTATATTTTCCCTCATAAATCCGAAACTTATATGTATAGCCTGTTGCCCTCCCACAGGTCTTATACATCTTGACCCCATATCTGGCATGCTTGCTGGGGAGAAATTGTTTGAATGGAAGGCGGCCAGAAAAATTAATGAGGGACTCATCAACACAGATGTTTTGTTGCAGAGTATAGACATCTGCAAATTTTTGGTTAAGGTGATTTATGAGGGGCTGAATTTTGTGGAGGCGGTGAAATTCAGGGTCACCCCGAGGGTGACAGAGTGTGTTGCCATTGAACTGCATAAAACACATTGTACTCTCATATCTATGCCATGGCAGGAGAGAACATGGGCATATGATGAATCGGGTCTGTGGACCAGTAGATCCGCAATTAATTTTTTTTAGTAACGCCCATGTTGAGGGTTAGACCCAAAAAAATTTTTAATTCGGAAACCGTAATGGGTTTCCATGCGAATGGTCTGGCGAGGTTTGAATTTGGGCTGGCGGTGATAAACTGTTGTGCATATAAATTGCTCTGATCCAGAATCAATGCATACAGATCTTCCGTGAAAAACAGCTAAAAAAAAATCAAGGGGAGTATTTAAATTTCCACCTGAATTCTGTGTTGGGCAGTGAATGGGGAAAGTACAGGTGCTGCAGAATTTGTGGGCTACCAATCGGGATTTGCAAGCATATCCAGAAGGATACTAGGAGCTCTATTGTTTGGACCATTCCTCAAATCAAGGATGCTTGATTTATGGAGATTATGGAGCTGACTGATTGGAGACAGCTTAAAATATGAAATGTGCTCATTCTTGGTGGCTGCGGGACACTACTTGTTCTCGCCACCGCACCAGCTTGTACTGCACTTATGGGACTTGCCATGGAGCACCTAGCTGTCAGGGACTGCTTGAACCGCTACAAAAACATTTACCGGCAAGTGCTAACAGAGATCTGGCCTGATTCTGCGAACACTGCGGTTTTGTGTGCAATGTATCAAGTGACAGCGACCTACTGACACTGCACTTGCTCTGGGAGAAGGAGGAGGATAAGCGTAGGGGCTAATTGCAGGTGCCGGGGCTGATCCCGCTAACGCTGTTTTTGGGGACGCTATACTAATGTGAACGCTGGTATACTGCTGATCTGATCAAAGATATTGACCCGTTCAGGCACTATACTAGCATTGGAGGTTTATTGTGTATGTGAGCGTGTTCCTGGCAATCAAGGGGTTAAATGTGATTACTGGTGTACTGATGGGCAATTGGGGAGGGGAGCAAAAACCACGGGAGTGTGAATCACATATATTACGTGATTTTGCGCACCCGTGCTGCCCTGTAGCAGTATTTCTACTAGAGGACGGCGTGGAAGCAGTTAAACATGTCCAGTAAAAAGAATATTAAAAATAAAATTTCGTCATAAATTTAGGCCAAAATGTATTCTGTGACATGTCTTTGCGTAAAAAATCCCAATACTTGTAAATGAATTGGTTCACGTGACAGTTATAGTGTTTACAAATGGCGGTATAGATACTAGAAATCTTTTTTTGTTATTACTAATAATGGCGGTGATCAGCGACTTATTGTGGGACTGCGGGGGACATTCTGACACTGGGGGGAACTGACTTGGTGTCACTGACATACCCAGTGACACCAATACAGTGATCAGTGCTGAAAAAAAAAAGCACTGACACTGTACTAATGGCACTGGGCAGGAAGGGGTTAACAATGAGGGGTGATCAATGGGTTAACTGTGTGCTGGGAGTGTTATACGGGGGGCGGGGTGCTTCACAGTAAAGCATACTACTCTGGATGGCCCTGCTCAGCCATCCAGAGCAGTGTGCCCAAACTGACTGTTGGTAAACAAAGCAGCCCTCCTCCCCGTGGGTGATCCTCGGCAATCACCGGGCACCGGCGGGTAATCACCAGCTGGGACCTGGTGATCGACACCCGGGGCCACGATCAGCAACGTGGGTAGGGCTCATGCGCGCCCCCTACCCTGAATTGCAAAATCACGTATATATATGGCTATGTGGCACATGTTGGCCAAGCCAGAACAGCCATGGCTTTGGGCAGATGTTAACATTCATCACAAGGTAAGAGTGAGCCACTGCTCTGAGGAAGGGGGCCTGTTCCCCGAAACATGTAAGCTGACATTGTCCTCTATACACTTGTGACTTTTGGAGAGCTGACCTTTTTGAACTGTGGTTTTGTCATGCCTTCTTTTCTATTTGGCTTGTGAGTATATATGTGTAGTCTGTCACCACTTAAAGTGTTGGGGATAATGCGCCAGGCGTTTGCACCCTCTTTGTATTTTGTTTTTAAGGTAAGGGTGTACCCGGGACATGTAACAGGGAAGAAGGTTGGGATAGGGTGTTTTTCTGTAGTAACTTAACTACATGGCTTTTTGGACCATTCCTCAGATCAAGGATGCTTGATTTATGTAGATTGTAGAGCTGACTGACTGGAGACAGCTTAAAATATGAAATGTAGGTTTCTTCTCATTGTCTTTTTAAATTCTGCCACTCTCAGAATCTAAATGAACTCCATATTACACCCAGATCGAAGGAGTGATTGATAAACCTACCCTGTTATTTGCTTTATAAAAATAATTACAATACACAGACTGTGGGTGGCCAGCATTAAACAGTAATTTATAATAATTAAATGGTACCTCCAAAAACTAAAGACAATTCATTCAATGGTAATCTTGTATACCGGATACATTTCTCATATCCAGAAGGGGTTGGTGTAATGTATCCATTTTTCAGCTACTTTCCTAATGGTTTTTACCATGTTACAATCATGAAATAGATGGTATTACTTGAAAAAGAGATATTAAACTAATCAATTTTCTCTAGGGAGAGAAGGGAGAGGCAGGAAGGATCCTGGGCCCTGATGGTACGCTACTTTCTGGAGGAGAGAAGGTAAGATGGAGTTGGTTTGTGTATGTTGGGGAGTTATGAATTACAGAAAAGTAGACATAACTGAGAGTAGGTAAAGACAGCCTTCAGCAAGGTCTTAAGTATGTGTGATCAAGGCCACAAAATAAAATAAAATATATATTCATTTAATCCAAGTTTGTTTTCCAAATGCTATTGCTTCCTGTATAAATCACTGTGTATCCAGACAATCTGTCCCCCCTTGCCTTCTGGGATCCATAGCAATAACATGATCTAATATGGCTACAGTTACACCCTTGGCCTTCAGTGGCCAAGACAGATTATCTGCAGACTGTTAAATATAATGACAATATTCAGATACATTGAATTCATTTATTTCAATCCCAGTGAAGGATACAGTGTAATTTCTCTTCTACAGTCACACACTAGGGTATATTTATATTCTTGATTTCTTCAATGTTTTTAAATGCTTTGCATGCATAATATATGTTTGCAGTGTATATCCAAGTAAATAATCTGAATATATGTACAGTAATACTACAAGTTAGTCCATACTTTGATGTATAAACCTGTGCTTGTATTCAAGGGTGATATAGGACCAAGGGGCCCTTTTGGACCTATGGGACCAGTGGTAAGTGCATATATCCTAAACATAGAAAAAAGAGTGTTGGTTAGAAGGAGAAATATTAGGATCATAATGTCTATGATACATTCTTGTGTCACCAGGGACCTGCTGGACAGAAAGGAGAAATTGGACTGCCTGGAAGACCTGTAAGTATAATATGCAATATTTATTTCTTCTAGTTTTGGTTCTTGCCATGCCATGAATATGTTTTCCATTTTCCTTTGTTATATTTTCCCTTTCATTCAATTTTTATATAATCTTCAGCAAAATCCTATGTTCTTTAATTCAATAAAAACAGTTTCCCTCCCTATATGATTATCTTCTGTCTATCACATGGTCCATCTTACGCCACAATCTCTATTCTGCCTTAACTTTCCTTCTGTTTTACACTGTTTTTTGTAGTCCTGTAGTATGTTTTTTTTTTTTTTTTTTTTTTTTTTCAATTCATCACCTCTGTTGTCTTTTATTTCTCTGTTTGTTCTTGTTCTTTTTTCCACCCATGATTCCTTGTTTTCACTGTCATTTCTTCTAGCTACTTTATTTTTTTTATCCGCTCTTCGTTATATCTTCTAAACCAAATTTTCTCTTGTTCTCTGCATCTTTATGTACCTGCCCTCTTATGTTCCCTGTTTTGACCTTCTTTAATCAATCCCCTTTTTAGGAATATTAGCTAACAAGGTATACTCATTAAATAAAAGCATAAGCCCTTTTCCCATGCTTTTGGGCGGTTGAGTGTAAACGGAGTGGCCGTCAAGTTACATTCGACTGTCCTCTGGTCCGATCCTCGTAGATGGTGGGGGGAACATATCCCCTTCTGTTTCTTTTTAGCGGACTCGATTGGATTAGGGGCAGGCAGATGTAAACAGACACAAGTTTATACCCGATGGTCCATAGGAATGCATGGACCATCTAATCAGATCCCCCTGAAAATCTGACAAGGGGACCTAATTGGATTGCCCATGTGAAAGGGACCTAAGATAGGAATTAAAATCATTGTTAGTCCAATCTCTTTAAGTTCATGAAGCATTAGATAATGCCTTTACAGAAATTGATAACAATTCTAAATAGCTTTTAAAAGATATACTTTTGAAGCATGTCTCCATGCTGGAAGGCAATGTCTTTGATTATTTTTTGTTAATTTTCCCAGTGATTGTGTCTGCACTTTCTCCCTGTTTATATGGTTTTGTCTGCTCATTGTCTAATACAGACAAAAAAAAAACACACGTTATTTATACTTTTTTTTTCAGGGTCGTCCTGGTGTGAACGGACTTAAGGGAGAGAAGGGAGTATCTGCAGATCCTACTGGTTATGGAATTAGGGTAAGTTGAATATATCGATGAGGCAGTTAATGAAGACTATTTGGCTTACTTGGACCTGTTGTCATTTTTCATAACAATGCAATTTTTTTTAATTTAGGGCCCACCAGGTCCTCCCGGCCCACCTGGTCCTCCAGGGCAAACGGTAAGTTTTGTTCATATCTTACCTTGCCATATAATAAGGCATCCAGGCTTAGAAGGAGTTTCCAAGAAACATGTAAATTGCCTATCCCAAACTTTGACATCTGACTTTGCCTGCTGTTATTTTTAAAGTACACTGCTCTAAAGTCTGACCACTGAAATGTGACAGTTCTCACAGGAATATGTAATATTTTATATATATTATACAGTTCATAACCATTCATTTTCATTATCAAAACTTTTTTTTAGGTATATAGTGATCCGCGTTCTGGTGGGGCACAAGGTTATCCAGGTTTGTCATTGTACATTTACTGTCCCTGACATTATTGCATTTTGTTAGTACAGGTTAATTCTCCTTAGAAAGCTTTACCTTTATTTTATTGAGTTAATTGTTGTTATAATAGGTCAGAAAGGCGAGAGAGGATTTCCAGGATCGAAAGGTGATCAAGGAGACGTTGGCCCTCCTGGAGCACCAGGTAATAACAAACAGTAAAGATGGGATGTTCAATTTCAGCCTATGGAAGCTGTAAAACAATTAACAATGGCATCTTATTGAAGCTGAAGCATTCTTAGTAAAAAAGACATCATAGATGCCATTCAGATGATTTCTTTGCTTTAACAGCGAAAGAATTGTGTTTATTAAACACAAGCTTATCATTTTCTAGACTGCTATTGACCAATGATTCTCAAATTGTTGTCTGCAAGCAATGATTAGGTTTTTCTTAGTCACTTTCCGTAGTCTGCTGGTGCGATTTGGCAATGTACAAAGTATACAGAGCAATGGATTCCTATGCCATTTCCCAATCCTTTTGTCTGGATTGTGATACTAGTGTGAAAAACTTGGATTGGTTTTGATGGCCGGATCGTGAGTTAGAAAAGGTATTCAGCAGTTGGAGTGGAAAAGAATCTTTGCAAAACACTGAATAGAATAAGGCACCTAGGCAAAGTGGAAAAGCTGATGTCTTTAGTAGATTCAGCTGTGCAAGGGAGCCTTAAGTCGGTCATAGATGAATCATAATTCATCCGGTTTTGATGAACTGGTTGAATTTTGATCCATCTATGGGCAGGCTATTTGTACTGAAGTCAATCTGTTGATCGACTACAGTATAACCAGCCTGTCGGGTTTATTTCATTCAATCACTGTCGATGGCTATAGCCACAGGCAGTGATCGTTTTATTCTGACTGCAAGGAAACTTCCTGCGGTCAGAATACAATTGCTCTGTGGGAGGGATTCCCCTATCAACACTGACTGTGTTGTTGAGGAAATCGAGCTGATAGTGCTTGGGCCTGTTTCATAAGGTTTCACAGACATTGCGCACTGCCTTGTGCATAAAGTGTGCTTGTACGTCTTCTACATGTATGCAGAGAAGTGGTAGTCAACTTTCTTTATATAGGGGGCCTCAAGTGCGGTAATGTGCTCGGGGACTTGTTGGAGGTTGTGAACATATTATTATAGTTGTTGAAAACTGGGGACATACATAAGGAAGGTGTCATGGACTGGAGTCATATGACACGAGATTGCTTGAGATCATTACTATTACAGTGCAGTAGGAAAACAAAGATAAATCTGTGTAGAGTCCTCAATGGCTGCACAAAAGGTGTCAATGGGACGCAGGTTGGGCACCAGGGATGTAGAGGTTTTCTGATTTGATGTAGCATGGTGCTATTACATTAGCAGAAATGGCCTTATAGCCTGTGTTGCTTTATGTGTCTGTGTTGAGACCACAAGTTTCCTTAAAAGAATATTCCTGCAACTAGGGAAAAACACTTACAACATAAGAAAAAGCATGGCAACAAGTACAGTATGAAATGGTATAATGGTTCCTTTAGAATGTGTTTAAGATGACATGATAGGCAATGAATATTATGCATTTTTGCCTATTTACTGTACAGCATAAAATTCGCCTTTAGGATGCCAGTGGTGTTTTCACACCTACAGGCAATTATTGTCATGCACTGATGATATCAGTGTTTGATTGAATTATATGAAAATGTAGGCCTTATATACCCTCATTGTGTCCTGGTCAGTAAACATTACTAATAGTTAATTTCCCTTATCATCTGCACACCAGTTGAAATTTCAGAACAGACTGCTAGAAGGAACACCTAATTTTGCTGTTGAAATGAGAAAAAATAGCAGAACAGGAGTAGTTGAAACAAATCAGACCTATATTGTTTTCGGTTTCTAACTCTGGTAATGTCTTATTACAGTACCCAAAAAAAAATCAAGTTTAGGCACACATGTGAGGGTTCATTTGAGATGCTTCAGCATTTGAACAATAGCCTCAGGGAACCTGATTTTATAGCAAAGCACCCATACTGTATGGGTCAATTATTGCCCCAAATACTAATTACACAAAATCAGATATTTGACATACAGTTGCAAGAAAAAGTATGTGAACCCCTTGGGATTACGTGGAGTTTTGCATGAATTGGGCATAAAATGTGCTCTGACCGTCATCTAAGTCACAACAATAGAAGAACACAGTCTGCTGAACATAATAATACACAAACATTAGCTGTTGCCATGGTTTAATTGCACATAACATGTAAACATTCACAGTGCAGGGAGGAAAAAAGTATGTGAACCTTTGGACTTAATAACTGGTTGACCCTCCTTTGGCAGCAATAACCTCAACCAAACGTTTCCTGTAGTTGCAGATCAGACCTGCAGAACGATCTGGAGTAATTTTGGACCTCTCCTCTTCACAAAACTGTTTCAGTGTAGCAATATTCCTGGGATGTCTGGTGTGAATCGCTCTCTTAAGATCATGCCACAGCATTTCAATCGGGTTGAGGTCAGGACTCTGACTGGGCCACTCTTCTTCTATTGTTGTGACTTAGATGACGTTCAGAGCACATTTTATGCCCAATTCATGAAAAACTCCACGTAATCCCAAGGGGTTCACATACTTTTTCTTGCAACTGTAGGCAGTAGCCATTGGGACTGATTTATAACTGTAATGTCTTTTTATGATTTGATGGAATATTATTTAGATATTTCTCACCAAAGTTATATCTATGTTTGCAGGAACATTCCCATATGATTTCAGTACCTTTGGAAGGGTAAGTATAGTTGGGATAAGTGAAAATAAACACCTATGTAGGACTGTCCAATAATGCAGTTTGCATGAAGGGTCTTTCTTTATTTTGAGTATTTGCAAAATAGTTAGGATCTAATTTGAACTGAGGGGTAGACATAGTTTGTTAAAATGGGATACACCTTCAAATGGCCAGTAACCAGTAAACAATGCATTGCATTAAGCTACTAGTGTAAATGTTCTGCATCAATTAGCTTAGTGATATATTTGTGCAAAATAGTTTCTCTTTGTTTCATGCAGTCAGTCAGACTGTCTTTGTTTTCACTTCTGCAGTATTTTATGTGAGTTTCTATTTGAGGAAAACGTTAGTTTACTGCTTTGTTGAACACCTATTAAATCATGGTGACATGGCTGAATAGTCATTGTAGAGGCCCCATAACCAGTAAATGCGTATTTTGGCCTCATAAATGAAGCACCCTCCTAGTCAGCTAGGGGGAGTTAGATCCTAATGGTTGAATAGCAGCCCATGTGTAATAGTCAGAGGGGTCAAATTTTCAGTCAGGAACTGGAAGGCTCTGCAGACTCGGCCCTCTGGGACTTCCCCCTGCCTAGAACTTTGGAGAAAGTTCTAGAAGCAGTGGGCGGATTTGAGGAGTGGCTGATCTGCATATTCAAGGGACTTTGACCAAATCCCAACAGGAGGCTTGGCAATGGATCAGAATAGCCCATAAATATGAGTGAGCCTGTCCAGTGTGAGGGGCGTTGGAGGGAGAATTCGGGTGGAAGCTAGAGAGAAAGATGTGCGGATGAAGAAAAGAGGCTGCGAGGAGGCCCAGTGGGATGGGGCCTATCTGCCTGGAGATGGAAAGGAAGTAAGCTCAGAGGCCACCAGCCCCATGAGAGAGGACCACCTGTATGGCAGGGAAGGAGCGGCCCAACTTATAGGCCTGGTAGCAGCCACCAACCCACAAGTGGCACAGGAGAGGATCTGAGTGAGTACTGCTACACCCCCTGGACGGATAGCAGAAGAAGCACTCTGGTGGGAAACCGGATTAGCTATCTACCGGTAACATTCTAGTTCTTAAAGTGACAGGAACCGGATCCCCTGTTTAGGGACACCTCCAGATTGCTGGGTGAAGAGGAGATATTAATTTAGGCTCTGGGGTGGTACACTAAGGAGACACTGGCTAGCGCTCCAACAAAGACTGTGCTGCAGAAAAGGCTCGTAAATAGTTACAAGAAGTTGTCTTCAGGCATCCTGTACACCCCTAACCCTATCCCAGTTCAAATCCCCTATATAAAACAACAAAACATACGCTCAAGGACTGATTTCTGACTTTGGATGCAAGCTTTTGTGGAAATGTGCGATGCCTGGCTGTGCAGGGCTGTAGAGGGACTAAAGTCTTCTAGCGACTCCTAAGAGGGTAGTGCTGCATAAAGTATACATAAATAACCTGTGCAAATGACCTAAGGATTATAGACATTTTTGCTTCCTTTTCTAAGGGAGAGAAAGGACAAAAAGGAGAAACTGGCACTGGCACTGGCGATGGTCGGGGAATTCCAGGACCTCCCGGCAACCCTGGATATCCTGGACTACCAGTAAGTGAACAGTATGAACTCTTATGTGTTACCTATACTTGCCAAATTACCTTGCTTTGCAGTCTCAATTCTTTTGAAACCAAAAAAAAATAAGAGTTATCATAGGAAGTTGTAGCTTTGGTAACACCCCTCCCTCCTAGATTGTAAGCTCCAAGGAGTAGGGCCCTCCTATCCCTCTTGTATTGAACTGTATTGTTGCTGTATTGTCTTCCGTTATATTGGAAAGTGCTGAGCAAACTGTTGGCGCTATATAAATCCTGTATAATAATAATAATATGAGCAGACTAGGGCTAAATGTGGATGCCTCTGGAATGTATCTTATAATATTTCAGTTTTAAATTTGAAAGATTTTGGAGTCATGCCAACATCACATTTATCAGCTACATTATCACAGTTTGTGTTATTATATGTTTGGTATGTTATTTTTCACATATCTAGCATGATTTCATTGTGTTCAAAATAATAGCAGTCAGACATCACTAACCTGATCAATCACTGTTTTGGTAGAAATGATATTTCTACATGGCAAATAATTTACTAACAGGTGTAGTAGAGTAATAGAAATCCAACAGTCATGACATGCATGCTGCTGATTCTGTGTAATTGAATCACTAATTGAAAGGGGCATGTTCAAAATAATAGCAGTGTGGAGTTCTATTAGTGAGGTCATTCATTCTTTGAAAAACAAGTGGCAATTATTGCCCTTATTTAAGGACGGAAGGCAGCAAATGTTGTACATGCTGGTTACAGTGCATTTCTCTCTGAAATTCTGAGAAAAATGGGAAGTTCCAGACATTGTTCAGAAGAACAGCGTACCTTGATTAAAACGTTGATTGGAGAGGGGAAAACATATAAAGAAGTGCAGTAAATGATAGGCTGCTCAGCTAAAATGATCGCAAATGCTTTAAAATGGCAACCAAAACCTGAAAGACGTGGAAGAAAGTGAAAAACTACCACTCGAATGGATAGAAGAATAGTCAAAATGGCAAGGACTCAGCCAACAATCAGCTCCAGGAAGATCAAAGAAGGTGTAAGTACCTGTGAGTACTGTTACAATTAGAAGACGCCTATGTGAAGCCAAGCTATCTGCAAGAAGCCCCCGCAAAGTCCCACTGTTGAAAAAAAGACATGTGCTGAAGAGGATACATTTTGCCAAAGAGCACATTGACTGGCCTAAAGAGAAATGGCGCAACATTTTGTGGACTGATGAAAGTAAGATTGTTCTTTTTGGGTCTAGTGGCCGGAGACAGTTTGTCAGACGACCCCCAAACATTGAATTCAAGCCACAGTACACTGTGAAGACAGTGAAGCATGGTTGCGCAAGCACCATGATATGGGGATGTTTCTCATACTATGGTGTTGGGCCTATTTATCGCATACCAGGGATCATGGATCAGTTTGAATACATCAGAATACTTGAAGAGGTCATGCTGCCTTATGCTGAAGAGGAAATGCCCTTGAAATGGGTGTTCCAAAAAGACATCGACCCCAAACACACCAGTAAACATGCAACATCTTGGTTCCAGACCAACAAGATTGACGTTATGGAGTGGCCAGCCCAATCCCCGGATCTTAATCCAATAGAAACCTTGTGGGGTGACATCAAAAATGCAGTTTCTGAGGCAAAACCAAGAAATAGAGAACTGTGGAATGTAGTCCAATCATCCTGGGCTGGAATACCTGTTCACAGGTGCCAGAAGTTGGTTGACTCCATGCAACACAGATGTACAGCAGTTCTCAGAAACAGTGCTTATACAACTAAATATTAATTAAGTGATTGAAAGGAAAGCAAAATCTTCAAACATTTTTCAGTTTATATAGTGAATGTTTGAGTTTGTAAAGAAGAATACAAACACTGCTATTTTTTTGAACAGTCTAATATTCACTTTTCTTCAATTTTTTTAGAGGAACAACACAAATTTGATATATGTTTCATCATGTTTTGATTTGGAATAGAATGTGTAGTGTTCCCAATGCATTTGTGTGTATGGAAATAAAAGCTATTAGAAGGATTTTGAGCTTTATTCACTTTTTTCAACACACTGCTATTATTTTGAACACAACTGTATATTCATTTGTCACAAATTCTCTGTACAGGGTGCTAAAGGAGAAAGTATTCAAGGTCCTCCTGGCCCGCATGGCCCACCAGGAGCTCCTGGTGTAGGATATGAAGGAAGACAAGGACCACCTGGGCCACCAGGACCTCCAGGTCCTCCTGGACAACAGTTATATCCTGGACCTGGACCCAATAGACCAGGTTAGTATTGAACAAGCACTGTAAAACTTTGTTTATTTGATTAATGCATGAGGAACTGTAAATTTACAAGCAACACAAATAATAAAAAATATTGTTTTCATTTATTGCAGTTCTAAGTGTTCCAGGACCACCAGGACCCCCTGGGCCACCTGGAACCCCTGGAGGATCAGGAGGATATTCTGCGGTGAGGACTAAAAACTGCATCTCCATTGTTCTCATAAAAGCTATCTGACTTACAATGGAAAAGTAACATTTGACGTCAGTTATGATGCAAAAAAAGTGTTGTAATCTATTGAAACCAATTAGCAATGAGTCAAGTAATTAGTTTATGCAAAGATATCTTCTGTGTGAAATTAAAGCCTAAGAGAAGCCAAAATAAAAAACAGAAAAATAAGTACAATGAATATAACTTACAGTCAGTAGAATGTTACCCTTATGCTGATGCCTTTTGTTTTAGATGAAATCCTCCTCCATTCATGTCCACCCTCCCTACCCCTGCCACGATAACGTTCCGTTGTGGTGGGGGTTAATAAAACTAAGAAGCTGTCATAGGTTCTCATCAAGTTAACCTGACTATGCCCACCCTTTCTGCCCAGTTACAGAGTTAGTCTGGCTGAAAAAAGACAAAAGTCCATCCAGTTCAACCAAAAAAAAAAAAAGTTATGATCCTATACCCACAGTTGATCCAGAGGAAGGCAAAAAAAACCAGCAAAGCATGATCCAATTTGCTCCTGCAGGGGAAAAAAATTCCTTCCTGATCCCCCGAGAGGCAACCGGATATTCCCTGGATCAACTTTACTTATAAATGTTAATATCCAGTTATATTCTGTGTATCTAAGAAAGAATCCAGGCCTTTTTTGAAGCAATCCACTGAGCTGGCCAGAAGCAACTCTTGAGGGAGTCTATTCCACATTTTCACAGCTCTCGCTGTGAAGAAACCTTTCTATGTTTAGAGATTCAATTTCTTTTCCTCCAGACCTAAAGAGTGCCCCCTTGTCCTCTGTGATGACCTCAGGGTGAATAACTCCACACAGAGTTCACTATATGAACCACTGATGTATTTATACATGTTAATCATATCCCCCCTTAATCTCCTCTTCTCAAGAGAGAATTAATTCAGTTCCTCAAATCTTTCCTCATAGCTGAGCTCCTCCATGTCCCTTATCAGTTTGGTTGCCCTTCTTTCTCCAATTCCCCAATGTTCTTTTTGTGAATTGGTGCTCAAAATTGAACTGCATATTCCAGATGAGGTCTTTGTACCGGGGTAATATGATCTCTCTCTCTGGAGTCTATACCTCTTTTAATATGAGAGAGGATTTTGCTCGCTTTAGAAACTGTAGCTTGGTATTGCATGCGATTATTAAGCTTATGATCTACCAGAACCCTCAGATTCTTCTCCACCATTGATTCCCCCAGTTGTACCCCCCCTAGTATGTATGATGCATGCATATTCTTAGCCCCCAAGTGCATAACCTTACATTTATCAACATTAAACCTCATTTGCCACATGTACGTTGGAGACATCCTGTAAGGACTTTATTCCACTGCACAGTTTGGTGTCATCTGCAAAGATTAAAATGGTATTTTTAATCCCAGACCCTATATCGTTTATAAATATATTAAAAAGTAAGGGTCCCAACACTGAACCTTGGGGTACACCACTGACGACCCTAGATCATTCAGAGTATGAATCATTAACCACTACTCTCTGAATACAATCGTTTAGCCTGTTTTCTTTCCATTTACATACAGATTTTTCCAAGCCTGTACACTTTACCTTACACATTAGCCATGTGTGGGGAACTGTGTCAAACGCTTTTGCAAAATCCAAGTGTACCACATCCACCACCACCCCTCTGTCCAAGGTTTTGCTCATCTCCTCATAAAAAGAAATCAGATTTGTTTGACAACTTCTGTCTTTCATGAATCCATGCTGTCTGTTGCTTAAAATATTTTTAATCTATGTGGTCTTTTATTAAACTCTCCAGTATCTTCCCAACTATAGAAGTTAAACTAACAGGTCCATAATTACTTGGTAAAGATTTTGACCCCTTTTTAAATATTGGCACCATAGTGGCCTTACACCAATCCAGTGGTACTATGCCAGTCATTAAAGAGCCCCTAAAAATTAGAAACAATGGCTTTGAAATGATAGAGCTCAATTCTTTAAGGACCCATGGGTGTATGCCATCCGGTCCAGGTGCTTTATTCACCTTTATTCTGACAGTTCTGCCGTTCATATTCATATTACAGCTTCTATGAATGGAGGGGCATACCTATAAATCATCTTCCATTCATAGGTCCTGTTTCATTCATAGATGCTATAGTATGGCTTCTATGAATGGAGCAGCCTGGAGGAAAGGGTTTGTATAGTCAAGCTCTCTTGATGAGAGCTTGTGACAGCCTCTTAGTTAGACTTTTGGAGGTTTGGCACTGATTGACCACAGTCCTTTAACCTCTTGCCGACCGCGCATAGCCGAATGACGGCTTCACCGCGGCCGGCCAGTTCTGGGTGGACGTCATATGACGTCCTCCCAGAATGCGCTCTCCTGCGCGCCCCAGGGGGCGCGCACCCGGCGATCTCCGTGATCGCTGTGTCCTACGGACACAGCTGATCACGTGATGTGGTAAAAGGCCAATCACAGCGGCCTTTTACCACCTGATCAGCGGTGTCCAATGACACGCTGATCAGAGGGAAATGCAAGTGCCGGTTCTCGGCTGCATTTTCCTCACACTGTCAGATCGTGAGGAAAGTACTGCCGAGAACCGGCAGTTGTCAGAGCGGGGATCGGCACCGATCATCAGGGCACTGATGATCAATGCCCTGATGATCGGTGCCCAGCAGTGCCACCCGCAAGTTCCGCCCAGCAGTGCGCCCACTAGCTCCGCCCACCCGTGCCCAGCAGTGCACCCACCTGTGCCCAGCAGTGCACCCACCTGTGCCCAGTAGTGCACCCACCTGTGCCACTCTGCAGTGCCACCTACCTGTGCCCAGAAGTGCCACCTACATGTGCCCTGCAGTGCCACCCACCTGTGCCCACCCACCAGTGCTGCCCACCAGTGCCACCCACCAGTGCAGCCCAGCAGTGCTGCCAGTCAGTGCCACCAGTCAGTGCCCAGGGGTTGTGCCAGTCAGTGCCGCCAGTCAGTGCCCAGCAGTGATGCCAGTCAGTGCCGTCTATCAGTACCCATCATCAGTGTCACCTATCAGTGCCGCCTATCAGTGCTGCATATTAGTGCCGCCTATCCGTGACACCTCATTAGTACTGCCTATCAGTGCCCTTTAGTGCTGCCTATCAGTGCCCATCAGTGCCGCCTATCAGTGCCCATCAGTGCTGCCTCATCAACGCACATCAGTGAAGGAGAAAAAATGCCTGTTTGAAAAATTTTATAAAAGAAACAAAAGAAACTTTTTTTTTTTTTCAAATTTTTTGCATTTTTTTATTTATAGCGCAAAAAGTAAAGCGCACAGCGGGGAGTAAATACCACCAAAAGAAAGCTCTATTTGTGAGGAAAGAATATGATCAAAATTTCATATGGGTACAATGTTGCATGACCGCGCAATTGTCAATCAAAGTGCGGCAGCGCTGAAAGCTGAAAATTGGCCTGGTAAGGAAGGGAGTATAAGTGCCTGGTAGGCAAGTGGTTAATCTGCTTCTATATGTGCCATCATTTCTTCACAAAAAGTGACCTGTTGTTAAGACTAACACCCGATGTCTACATCTTGAGGTATGTCTTATACCTGTATATAGAAATAATGCTATTCTATCTTGTGTTTTAAATGCCCTCTTCCTTGTTCCATTAGGCCACAGTATTGCAGACTTATCAGACAATGCTAAATCTGCGGCAGTCCTTGCAGGAAGGGACCATTGTACTAGTGCTGGAACAAGCAGAGTTGTATGTACGAGTCAGAGATGGCTTCAGAAAGATTCTTGTGAGTATCACTGTTCTGTGTCAAAATCTAATGATTAATTGTTTTTTTACCATCCATTGATCAAATCCTATCTATGTTAAACTCTAGTATCTACATTCTGAAGAAACAAGGACGAATCAGTCATTTTTTATCTCCAGTTTTTTTTGAAAAATTTAAATGCTCGAAGGCAGATTCACACACTTGTGGTGCACTATTGGACACGTATTTGCTCGTTAATGTGAATTTCTTTAAGTAAACCCGTTCATTTTGAATTGGCTGTCAGCATACTGCAATGTGATTTTTAATGATCCTGCATCTTTTCTTGTAATGCAGTGCACCACAATTGACAGTGAGGTTGAAATGAAGTGCACCACACTACATTACAGGCCTTATGGCAACCTGTGGTAAAACAGATATTTTACTGCATGTTACTACAACACACAGATGTTAATAGCACCAGAATAGCCACTTTCAGGCAAGGGCGGACTGACCATTTGGAAACTCGGGCACTGCACGAGGGCCCGGGGTCAGTAGGGGGCCCCATGAGATGCCCCTGGTACCTTTTTATAGGCATTTTTGAGTTTGGGCAAAGACACAGGGGCCCCATGATCCCCTATTGCCCAGTTGCCCCATGAGTTGTCAGTCCGCCCCTGCTTTCAGGTAAACCTGCCCATAGATGTTGGTTTAAGGAGGAACTGTGGTTATTGCCCACAGAAACCTTTTATTGTTCCAGTGTATTATGGGAGAATGAAAGAGAACCTGATTGGCTGTTAGGGCCAACAAAAATAGCTCTTTTTTGTGACAATATGGTAAATCAACTGTAAACCATCATTTACTCCAGAGGTAATCTGGCTAGACGCAAAAACATACATAACAAAGCTAATGCAGGCAAAACTTTAGTTTTGAGTAAATAATATGTTGTCTTTGTTTATTTAAAATAACAGCTTTTCAGAATAAATCTGTAAGTGTGTAGTGAGCACTGACACCATGCATTATGCTTTAATGTCACTTAAAAGGACTATAATGGCTTTGGGTCAATTTATTTACTTATTTTTTAATTTACAGGCTTTTTAATTAGATGAGCTGATGTTTCATATTTGTTTTTTTTTTACTATATGTGTAAAATTATTGTTTTGCAATAACACAATTAAAACATGATAAAAGATTCCCAGAGAACTATGAGTTGGCTAAAGACAACACACAGCAGCAGCTGCCTACCTGCTGGCTAATGGTGTCTGATGTCTAACTTTGGACTGAACTGTCTGATAAGGGACCAGTCAGTGCTGAAGAATAATTTAGTTATTTTGTAAATTTCAGCTGAACACCCTCTAGTGGGCATGAAAAATACAGGTTATCTACCTGCGGGCTATGAAAACAGAATATTAACACTATGTTTATTTTTACGTGACTGAAAAAAATTCTGCCTGTAATAAAGCCAGGAATGAGTTAGAAATGGAACACCTCCACATCCCATTTAATCATGACACAAGGCCTCTCCGCAGCTGCATTGCTTCTGAATAGACTGTGTTCACCTGACTTACAGTAAACATCAAGGGTACTGCAGCACTCACAGGTGCTTGGCGTTCTCAGTGCAGTACAGGAGTGCTCTTGGAAGTAGGCCTAGGAGATCTGGACTCCCCTGCAGCTTCAGAATTGCTTTTACACAGCCCTGTAATAGCTCATCATGTGATGTGAATTCATGTTTTCTAGACACACCATCAATTTTATGCATTTCTTTGATTCCAAGTACAGCCCCAATTCCAAAGATAACAAGCCGAAAGGTCCCTTTCCTCTTTAGCCTAGAGGACACGGCGGCACCCATAGTTGCCAATAAAATTTTAACATTTTGATTCTTCTGACTACAATTTTCCACTTTGCCACAGACCATTTTAAATGAGCTTTGGCCCAGAGAAGACAGCAGCGCTTCTGGATTATGTTGAGAAATGGCTTCTTTGTATGATAGAGCTTGATAGAACTTTGCATTTTTGAATGGCTTGGCAAACTGTGTTCAGTGATTTTTGGAAGTATTCCTGGGCCCATGCAGTAATGTTCATGCTTGTTTTTAATGCAGTGCCATGTGAGGGCCCAAAGATCCATCTAGTATTGCGTTTTGGCCATGTCCCAGACGTCTCCAGATTCTCTGAATCTTTTCATGACATTATATGCTGTAGATGATGATATACAGTATTTAAAGTCTTTGCAATTTTACATTGAGGAACATTATTCTGAAATTGTTCAACAATTTTTAGTAGTTACTTTTCACGGATTGGTGAATCTCTGCCCATCTTTATTTCCGAGACACTCTGACTCTCTAAGATGCTCTTTTTATACACAGTCATGCTACTGACCTGTTTCCAGTTAACTTAATCAGTTGCAAAATGTTATTCCAGCTCTTCCTTTTCAGTACCACTTACTTTGCCAGCTTTTTGTTGCCCTGTCCCAACTTTTTTGAGATGTGTTGCTGCATCACAGTTTCTCAACTTTTTTGGAATTTGGGTTGCACATCCTGTATAAGGCATTTTCATGTCCGCACATTGCAGTAATTTGAAATATTTTCAATATTTTCATCTGGAAGTATTGTAGACTTTAATACTAATGTTTAAATTTGTGTTTTCTAGCTCGGAGAATATGTAACCAATAATGGCCAGGTAGGTCTCACTCCTTTCGTGTTAGTTTCTGATATTTTAAACTGTGACTGGTTAGTGAGTGAATTGGTTTTTCTTACAGGGTAATGAAATTGCTGTGAAAGAGCCTCCTGTGGTCATTTATCCCTCTGGTAACAGAGACTCTGGATCCTATCAGTCTACAGATGTGCATGAGCCTCCCAGGAACGAAAGACCACCACCAGTTAATCCCCATCCTCCACAACCACCACCTCCAGTGTTCCCCAATCCAGAGCCAGAAAGCAGTGCACCCATACATACACACCAGGAGTACCAGGCAGCAGTAAGCACACGTTGAAAACTATCAAATGCTATTTAGTCCTTTTTTTGGTTTGCATATTTACATGTCACATTTCCCATTGCAGCTACACTTAGTGGCTCTGAATGCACCACTAACTGGCAGCATGCGCTCCATACGTGGTGTGGACTTCCAGTGCTTTGAACAAGCCCGCAAAGCTGGACTTCACGGAACATTCCGAGCATTCCTTTCCTCACGTCTTCAGGATCTGTACAGTATTGTTCGCAAAGCTGACAGGCTGTCTGTGCCAATCGTCAATCTCAGGGTGAGTCTCGCTGTACGTGGTTGCAGCCCATGAATTTGATGAAAGAGAAGTATACTCTGTATGGAGTGACAGCTCAAGCCACAGCTCTACCTCTGACAAATTTCACATTAAAATGCAATGTAGGAAGCACTTAAAGGGTATGCCCAAGTATTACCAAAACTTTCCTCTCTCTCTTTCTAGAGCAGTGCTCCTCAACCTTTTTGAGACGAGGGCCTGGTAAATTTTTCCAAAACCCCCCAGGACGCAAAAAAAAAAAATAAAGCTTATACTCACACAATAAAATTATTGGAATGCAAAACATGCATTGAAATAAATGTTGGAAGGCTCTGGATGGGGCCAAGTGTGAGTGAGTGTGTGTATGTGTGTGTGTGTGGGGGGTCACATTTGCCCTACAGGATCAGGTTTCTGGAGGGGGCTTGGGGGCACTGTTGGAGGTTTACGGGCATTGTGGAGGGCTAGAGGCTCTTCAGCAAACTGCATCCACTGCGAAGGGCTTGAGGGTTCTCTGGGCCATTGTGGGCCACCATGGGAGACGGGAGGCATTATCAAAGCTGGGAGGCACTGTAGAAGGGTTATAGATCTGCAGCTGGCTGGAGGCCCAAGAAAAGGGAGGCCACAGCCTGGTGATTGAGAACCACTGCTCTCTAGAGCATGTCCCAGCATTCTTTTTTATGTTCCTTTATAAACAAAAATCTTAATTGACTGTTACGTTATCATCAGACCTGTAAAAATTCTTGCAGGAACAACTGCTGGGAGGACAGTTCCTACTAAGGTAGGCAGGCTCCCAGAACTACATCTTCCTAGAGCCCTTTTCTCTACACAGAGTGTGTAGCCAGACTCTTGTGAGACAAGGCAGCAGCAGTTTTGATTTGAAATAAATCAATGTATTCATGTGGAGTGGGACAGTAAGGGATAGGGACAGAGTTCTGTAATCCAGCAGTGGAGAATTTGGCAGGACTGACTACAATCCTTGGGATTATAGCGTAGTAAAGACACAGTGTTTTCAGACAAAACAGGAAGTTAGGAGCACACTCATTTCCTGGCAAAGCATCAGGTAATTTTCTGTACTTGCAGCATTTTAAAGGAATAAAACATGAGGAAACGTGCATGTATTGCAGAGATGTAGGAATATGTTTTTCTGGCCCTGACATACACTTCAATTTGTAACAGTTTGTATTATATAGTTTTATAATGGCCTGTGCATGCCTATGAATGAACAACTGTGACCACTGGGTTTCCTTTATATAAAACATTTATCTATCTACATACCCATTTTTAATATCATGTGACACATCTGTGTATTATAGGATGAACCACTGTTTGACAACTGGGAGGCCCTTTTCTCTGGCTCAGAAGGACAGATGAGGCCTGGAGCTCGCATTTACTCATTTGATGGAAGAGATGTTGCAACAGATTCTACTTGGTAAGTTAAACACCTATTTGCTAACACAGAATATATGCGTTCTGGGCATTTCTTCCTGATTGAAAAGGTCCTAAGTGTGCGTACCACTGCGTTTAGCCCCATCTAGCCACAGCAGCTTGCCATAGACTTGGACAGGTTGCAGGGGCTGGATGCTGCACCTGTTCCATCCTGGTGCATCAAAACACCAGGAGGAATGCACAGTAGCTAGATAGTCCCAGGGGCAAGTGGCCTTAAATGTTTTGGGGGCACATGGTCCAGTGTGTGATTAAACAATTATACCAGGTGCTAATCATCAACAAGATTACAAATTCATTAAATCAAATCATCTGTGTGGGAGGAATGAGGAAACTGTGTGATGAAAAGCCATGCTCTACTTATGAATGGAGGTTCCCTAAAGACAGTTCAGCGTCTTGCGTGTCTGTTCAGTGGTTTTGCACAGAGGAGCCCCGATCCTCCTTGAGTCTCTACTGGAGCTACTGCCCCCCCCCCCCCCTCCTGCTGAGTGCCCACATAGCAAGCAGCTTGCTATGGGGGCACCTGAGCAGGCTCGTTCCTGAACTGCTGCTTTGTCTGTCCATTCAGACACTTAGCATGTATCTGCTCCACCCCCCTGCTGCTGTGTCAGCCAATGAGGCAGAGCCACTGCTCTCGTGCACATTGTTGGATTGAGATGGGGTTCAGGTAAGTATTAGGGGGCTGCTGAACACAGAAGTTTTTTTACCTTCATGCATAGAATGAATGTGAAAGTAAAAGCTCTTGAGCCTTTACAACCACTTTAAAGCACAGTGGCTGGCCAAGGACAATTCATGCAGCAGACAAAAGACAGTTCATGCTAACCTACCTTCACAATCAGAGGATGTCCAATGGTGCCATCAGCTCAGACTTCGCAGATACCAGTGGGACACTGGTATGTCCATCTATAGTCCAGAAGAATGTGGTCGTACGGCGGTCTTCATGGAAGACTAAAAGTCTAATGGAAGCATGTGCTTTGGATGGATGAGTCCAAATGTGGAATGTTTGACTATAGCTGAAGGTAGTTTGTTCACCCAAGAAGTAAAGAACAGTACAAGGGTGAGTGGCTGCAGATAAAAGGGAAGCATGGTGAAGGTTCCTTTCAGGTTTGGGGCTACCTTTCTGCATGTAGATTTGGGGATTTATTCAGAATTAATAGTCTCTTCAATATTAAAAAGTACAGGCAGTTACTTGTACATCATGCAATACCATCAGTTTACCTAGAAGAAATAATGCTGTTGGTGTGTGGTGCACACACCAAATGGTGATTTGATTTAGTGTAATTTAACTAACACCCAATAATACATGTTCTATTATTTCATGTTCCTTGCTTCTAGCCATTCATTTATTAAACTCAAGCATTAAACCTCAGATAAGCTTTAACCTGTTGATGCAATTTCAAATGTAATTTTCAATATTTTTAAATCTCCAGACTTCTATTATCCAGGTATAAAGTAGGCGCTTCCTTTTATATATAATATATAGGTTAACAGTGCCTTGTCCCTGTCAAAAATGTGCCCCTGTGTGTTGTCACTAAGGCTTCTGATGGAGACTACAAATGGCCATTTTAACACACATTATGCAGGCATAAGCCAACGTTATCATCTTCAGGAAACCAACTCAGAGATATGCCTTGGAGTCATTATTGGAGTGCTTGTAGACAGAAAGTGGCTGCAAATGCAGGAGATCAACAGAACTGATATACTGTAGGATAAAAACATGACAAAACAAGTATTTATGAAAAAACAATTATGGTTTATGTTGCACAGTAATTTAGCAAACTGTAGGGGCTATTTACTAAACCTGGAGAGTGCAAAATCTGGTACAGCTCTGCATAGAAACCAATCAGATTCCAGATTTAATTGACGAAGTTTAATTGAACAAGCTGACATTAGAAGCTACATATATATAGAAAGTGCAGCGCTAAAAGAAATATGTATGGTATATACAGTGGGGATCGAAAGTTTGGGCACCCCAGCTAAAAAATTGTATTAATGTGCATAAAGAAGCCAAGGAAAGATGGAAAAATCTCCAAAAGGCATCAAATTACAGATTAGACATTCTTATAATATGTCAACAAAAGTTAGATTTTATTTCCATTATTTACACTTTCAAAATAACAGAAAACAAAAAAATGGCGTCTGCAAAAGTTTGGGCACCCTGCAGAATTTATAGCATGCACTGCCCCCTTTGCAAAGCTGAGACCTGCCAGTGTCATGGATTGTTCTCAATCATCGTCTGGGAAGACCAGGTTATGTCAATCTCAAAGGTTTTAAATGCCCAGACTCATCTGACCTTGCCCCAACAATCAGCACCATGGGTTCTTCTAAGCAGTTGTCTAGAAAACTGAAACTGAAAATAGTTGACGCTCACAAAGCTGGAGAAGGCTATAAGAAGATAGCAAAGCGTTTTCAGATGTCAATATCCTCTGTTCGGAATGTAATTAAGAAATGGCAGTCATCAGGAACAGTGGAAGTTAAAGCAAGATCTGGAAGACCAAGAAAAATATCAGTCAGAACAGCTCGCAGGATTGTGAGAAAAACAATTCAAAACCCACGTTTGACTGCACGATCCCACCAGAAAGATCTGGCAGACACTGGAGTTGTAGTACACTATTCCACTATAAAGAGATCCTTGTACAAATATGGTCTTCATGGAAGAGTCATCAGAAGAAAACCTCTTCTACGTCTTCACCACAAAAATCATCATTTGAACTTTGCAAATGAACATATAGACAAGCCTGATGCATTTTGGAAACAAGTTCTGTGGACCGATGAGGTTCAAATTGAACTTTTTGGCCGGAATGAGCAAAGGTACATTTGGAGAAGAAGGGGCACAGAATTTAATGAAAAGAACCTCTGTCCAACTGTTAAGCATGGGGTTGGATCAATCATGCTTTGGGGTTGTGTTACAGCCAGTGGCACAGGGAACATCTCACGAGTAGAAGGAAAAATGGATTCAATAAACTTTCAGCAAATTTTGGATGGTAACTTGATGCCATCTGTGAAAAAGCTGAAGTTAAAGAGAGGATGGCTTCTACAAATGGATAATGATCCTAAACACACCTCGAAATCCACAGGGGATTACATCAAGAGGTGTAAACTGAAGGTTTTGCCATGGCCTTCACAATCTCCTGACCTCAACATAATTGAAAATCTATGGATAGACCTTTAAAAGAGCAGTGCGTGACAGACAGCCCAGAAATCTCAAAGAACTGGAAGACTTTTGTAAGGAAGAATGGGCAAAGATACCTCAAACAAGAATTGAAAGACTCTTGGCTGGCTACAAAAAGCGTTTACAAGCTGTGATACTTGCCAAAGGGGGCAGTACAAGATATTAACTCTGCAGGGTGCCCAAACGTTTGCAGACGCCATTTTTTTGTTTTCTGTTATTTTGAAAGTGTAAATGATGGAAATAAAACTAACTTTTGTTGACATATTAAAAGAATGTCTAATCTGTAATTTGATGCCTTTTGGAGATTTTTCCATCTTTCCTTGGCTTCTTTATGCACATTAATACAAATTTTTAGCTGGGGTGCCCAAACTTTCGATCCCCACTGTATATACATATACATATGCTCCAAAAAATGTTTATATCAGTATACCACAATAAAGTGTTAAAAACAATGAATAGACGAATAGTGACAGTTCGTGATAGGTGAACTATTCAGAAGTTGATAGTGACTTTTCCAATCCTGTGGTCTGGTGACAAATAGTGAAAATGCGCACTCACCGGATGCGTATTTTTAATACGCCTGTGATAAATAAACCAGAGGTCCCCCTCATTGGATGGGATGGACGAGCTGGGCCGTTTAGCGGACTCTCCTTTCCCTGGGTGTAGAGCGGCCAGACTGTTACCTCCCTCTGGGAAATGGACAGGATACTGGGCAGCCTACATCAGGGCATGCGTCATCCTTAGAGCGGTATCAGGTGTCACAGGCTTAGGATGCTCGGGCTCTAGAACGGATATGGGGCTCACCGCAGAGCCAGCAAGAAATAGCCCATAGTGTAGTAGTTTTAAAACTGGTATTTATTAATCCACGTGGTAAAATAACTCAGATATAAATAAAAGCAAGTAAAAAAACAATTACTGACCAAATGTGCAAAAAGACGTCACGGCATGCAGGCCCCTTTAAAGACGCACGCCCTGATGTAGGCTGCCCAGTATCCTGTCCATTTCCCAGAGGGAGGAAGGAGAGTCCGCTAAATGGCCCAGCTCATCCATCACATCCAATGAGGGGAACCTCTGGTTTATTTATTACAGGCGTATTGAAAATACACATCTGGTGAGTGCGCATTTTCACTATTTGTCACCAGACCACAGGATTGGAAAAGTCACTATCAACTTCTGAATAGGTCACCTATCACGAACTGTCACTATTCATCTATTCATTGTTTTTAACACTTTATTGTGGTATACTGATATACAATTTTTTTGGAGCATATGTATATGTATATATATACCATACATATTTCTTTTAGCGCTGCACTTTCTATATATATGTATCTATAAGGTTTAGTTTTTGGTTACCTTGCGTGCTATAGCTGCTATTATCTGAAGCGCTCACTGATTACATTTTCTTTATGACATTAGAAGCTGATTGGCTACCATGAAGAGCTGTTCCAGATTCTGAGTGCACCAGTTTTAGTAAATCTCCCCTATATGTCATTTACTTAGGATTTGCATCTACACTAAGTATCACATTTCTTGTCCTTATACACTAGGCCACAGAAGATGAATCTGATCTGGCATGGATCTGACACCAAGGGTCGGCGTGTAGCAGAGAGCTACTGTGAGATCTGGCGCACAGATGAAGGCATAGTCACCGGCCAGGCTTCCTCTATCACAAACGGGAAACTCCTAGAGCAGCGTCCTCAGAGCTGCAATAAGAACTTTATTGTCTTGTGCATTGAAAACAGCTTCATGCCTGCAGGCCAGAAGTAAGAGCACGCTGAGCAGTCAGAGTGGTGCTGATGCTGACAGAGGCTGCACACGGACTTCCTGAGATTCCTTCTTGCGTCCAGAGACCAAAGAGTGTGTGAAGCTGCTCTTTTGTGAACATTTATGTGCAGCATTACTGTCCCCTGGCTTCATGAGGCCACATCACTAGGATACACTGTCTGAGCTATTCCCTGCCTCAGCTTGACAACAGACCTTTTAAGAAATTTCCAGTTTTTACATCCTGAAAGAGGCTGCAAATCTGAAACCACTATGAAAACCCAGCTGATAGAACGTTGACCCTATCTGTGCCCTTTCTACTGAAAGCCCCATCTTGGCCAGAGCCAGTGGTGGCCTGTAAGCAAACTGTCCTAAGAAGACGCAGCCTGAGAGCAGACATAATGGATGCAGCGCTCACTGACGCATCCAAGTTGGAATAGTCTTTATTTTATTCTGTAATATTTAACCACTTGTAGTTACAGAGACACACGCATATCCCTTCATTAATCTCTTGTGAATGTCTTTCCTAGGTCTCTCAATGTCAAACATCTGGTAATTACCACTATATTTATTAGAGTACAGCTCCCTAAGAAACTTTTATGAATGTGTACCTACAGGACCCAGTATTTACTGAGCAGCCTTCAGATTTAAGAATACTTCTAAAGTGTTGTCTTTAGGTTGGTTATTGCAGTAAATGCTGTTTTCACTATACCGAGGCTGCTCTATACTTGACCTATGTAGCCCGATGAGGGTACTTTGGACCTTGCTATTGGTTATTCAGGATGTATGTGTTGGAAATCACTGTTATATATATTTTCTTAAACATGTTTCAGAATGAGATGAATAGAAAGAGAAGCACGGGTCCACATTACCCTGAGATTCCCCAGCTCTACGAGGCATAAAACCAATGGGTATGGATAGAGTAGGAAATAGTTAAAACCCCTATTTTTTTTGTCATCAGTGTTCCATTGGAGAGATTTTTTCTTTTCTTTCTGTCCTGTAGCCAAAACAGGAAGTGAGAGGAAATCTGTAATGAAGTAAGGGAAATCCCTTCCTGGACAGTTGACATCAAAACATGTGTCCCCACTGGAAGATTTTCTCTCTATTACTGTTCTATTGGTATGTCAAAATTATGAATTTTCAACCATTCCTTTCCCACTGGTCACCAAAAAAAATAGAGAGGTTACTCTCTCTAGTCGAGGCACAGACAGCAATAAGAACCTGATTGAGGTTCTAACCCTTCTCTATCCAAACCAGAAAAAAAAAAGTATTTTTTTTAAACTTAGGTAGTATTTTTTAAATTAAGCTCAATTCATAAAGCTATACCATAGGTGTTATATGCCAAAATAATTGTGCCTGTTTGTTTCAGCTGTCATTGCTGATGATAATGGAAATAAGGAAAAATAAAGATTGTTTTGGCCTCGTAGCAAAAGAAACCCCCTTCATCTCAAAGGCACATTCTACAGTGATTCACAATACTAATAACTTACATAGTATTTTTAGAATAGGAGCATTAATTTTATCCACATTTATTTCTCAGGTGCTAATGCTACTCACATACATCACTCTGTAGCCAGCTAGGTCTGGGCCATTGTGTGTATTGAGGCTTTAGAGACATTACATGGTCTGCTATAGCTATAGTTACACCCTGGTTATGGCCTAATGCATGGAGCCTATTATCTGAAACAAACATTTGCTGCACTACCATATTGAACCACTAGGAGGAGCCATCATACCACAATAATCCTGCCTGCCATTAGTTGCAAGAAAAACTTATTTAGGTCAGTTTTGCTAAAACCCATCCTGTGTGTATGTAGCACTGGTCCAGGTAAAGCACCCATGAATACACGCCCTTTATTGTGTGCACTAAACCAGTTCAATTACTTTGTTTCCCGTACGGAGCAAGCCCAACTATTAGTATTGTCTCTGTTTACAAGGTAACTACAGTAGTACACCTGCAGATAACCAGCTGTAATAAACCTATGCCATACCAATTGTTTTAATGCCCTGTACTCTGATACAATACTAGACAAAGACATAGTTTCTAAAAGTAAGCTGCAGAGAATAGCAGAGATTAGGTTTGTGAGGTGTTACCCTTTAAGGTCTGGCAGAAAACACATTTACATGTCTATAAGGAATCTAAGGGCTTCCATTACTGACCTTTCTGAAAATGTTAGTTGCCTGGCTGTTAAGCTAACCTACTGATTTCAATAAGTCGAGTCACTGACCAAGAACAAATATGAAGATCAAGAAAGTCAACAGGTCTTTATCTCAATACTTACTCTGGGTCAAGAACTAAACATATGAAAGCAAGAATGGTCAGCCAGGCAACTAGCATCTGTAATAAGAGAAGACAGCAATCGCAGCCTCTGTGTTTCTCTGGTGAACAGTTTCTTTGAAACCTTAATGGATTATCATTTAACCTTCATTATGTTTGATTTACCTGTACTAGAAGACATATGGTTATTGTAATACATCTAGTGTTCACGAATGCTATCTCTGTAAGTTGGACCTTTAGGGCCATCAAGGTTTTGCTGTGTATTGCCAGGTTAAGGGGAGGGGCTCTGACAACCCTAAAAAACAATGGCAGAAACCAGATTGTCTTGCTCAGGGTTGTTTGGTTTCTGAAGAACCTGTGAGATCTGAAGAATAAGCATCCATTTTTTTTCTGTTTAATTCATCCCACAGCTATGTTTTTATAACTGGGCGAAGCTAGCCTTTCAATTGCATTGTTACCTGTATTTAAAGCAAGGTGCTGCATTTCAAGATCTCTTTGCTGCTGGCTGTATGTATGTGTTAAGGGCTGCAATCCGGTTGTTAGAGTGCCTTAGCAGTGTACACGTTTGTTGTAGGCCTTGTGCAGCTGGGAATGCACATAGGTGTTTGATGCTAGGAAGTCACCAGTGAACACGCATATCCCTCATTTGTCTAAAAGGTGCTAAAAATCTTTATTTTTTTAAATGCTTTTAGAATATTTTAAGACGGGGAAACAGATGGAAGTTGGCTACCATAATCTTTGTATTTTAAAGAAGAAAATCAAGCCTGTGGATGTTTCAAGTTCATGTCTATAAATACTTCCTAGGACTAATGTGTGGTGTGGTCTTTCTTTACGGGGAGGGCACTTTGGAAAATTATGCACTATGGTTACTTCAGCGAAGTTCAATCTACCATCTAACTCAGCAAATTGTATCCAGAACCAATAATAAGCCCCATCACTGGAATGCATGTCATAGAGAAGTGAACATGATAAAAACCTTCTGTTAAGCAGGCCACAGACGGGTCGAACATCGGCCGATTTAAAAAAGAAAAAAAAAGAAAAATCGGTTTGTTCGATCGGCTGACGTTACCACCAACGTTAAAAAAAAAAATCGGCTGATTTTCGTCCTGTCTATGGCCAGCATTAACCCCATAACTTCTGTCCCTTGCAGAGACAGGGGAGCACACCAGACCTGCTATGCAAATACCTATTTACTGCTCTCTTTTGGCTTTTTGCTGCATTACAAAAACAGAAAAAAAAAACACTTCCTGTAGCTTTAGCCAAAACCTGGCTGCAGCACCATTTTGCTTTGTATTTTTATAAACACAAGTAGCCGATAAGAGAATGGAATTTAACAGGGAAATTTCCTAATCTTCACATGCTTCTTACACCAAATCTTTGCACAGCTGGAGGGAACTCATTAGGGCAGCACAATGACCTTTGGAGCTCACAAATAATTAAAAAAAAAAAAAAAAGTGCTCTGACTTTCAGACAGACTGACTGCATCTGTGTGTAACACATCAAATTTCCAAGCATCCCGATAGTTTAATGAACTGATAATTATTTTGACGGACGTTTTTAATTATTCTATTTCCTCTGCCATTTGGATTGCTTTAGAGTGTTTCTAAAGTGCTGACTTGCAGATGAAAGCATTTGGATGAGATGAAAAATTCTGAATGTTTCAAAGCCAGTTGTATTTATAAAGTAACTGATTCTAAAATGATCAGCTCTGGATTTTCTTTACTTCTTAAAACGATCCAATTTTTTGGCTATTGCTGCTTTGTAGAACCATTGTGGATATCCAGTTAATAAAAAACGATCAGCTGGAATAGTAGATGCCATGCATAAATATGTATGGCCAGCATTCAGGCCAACCTCAACATTTTGCAGATTTGAAAAGCACACAAATCACCATATAGATTATAACTGTGGGAAAAATTTATATCATTTAACGTGAATAAAGGCTGTTATGTAGCAGGCATCATATATATTTAATATGGCAGCCCAACTTCCCAGAACTCTTGGGAGAATAAAAACATATCCCTTTTTACCTTGTTGGGTTCAGTTTTGGATGGATTTTTCATCAGGACCAAGCACTGTTATTGGGATGTGCCTATACAAATACAAACCTATAGAAAGTAAACCGGTGCTTAGAAACCTTGGGATACCCTAGCAACACTGTGGAGAACTGGACTGTTATAGAGTACAGGTAAGATGTAGCAACTATCTACAACCCTAGTTTACATTGTATACCCACACTACAGGCTAAAGCCGGCCATGGACAGTTCGAATCTCAGACGGTTCAACAGGGACCAGCCAAGATTCTAACCATTTATGCGCAGGCTGAATGTACCCAAGTTGATTAATCAGCTTGGGTACCACCAGCCTGTCCAATTTTACAAATGTCCATATAAAAGAACATCTGGGTAGCAGTGACCATAACATGATTTCAATTATTAAGCAATATAAGTGACTGTTCCTCCTGCGCTTAATAGACACCTAAAACCAATGTAGAAGCTGCTAGCACCCAAACCCCTTACCCAAAAGGTGTACTACAACGACAAATAGATTAACATATGGTGCAGCGCTAAAAAATAACGCTAAAATATATATAAAAATATATATATATATACATAACATATAATATATAAATGAAATAAATTGAAATAGATCCCTGTAGGATCTTTTATATTTCACAAGTGCCATATAGTGCAAAATAGGACCCTATTCCAAAATGGAAAAACAACAA